TACGTTCTGGATTCGATTTGGATGATTCCCATGTCTAGAATTGAGTTGCCAACTTGATTGTAGTTGGCATGAGAAACTTTTATGTATGTTATTATGTACCACCAGTGCTTTAAGACCTGGCTTGGCCTGGCCAGTTGAATTAGCTCAATCGAGACTTCGAGTGGCGAAGCCTTCATCGGATTGGGTTACAAATTTTCCTATTCATTAAAAACTTTAGAAATTAGGATATCAATCCATGAACAATTAAAGGCTTTTGAAAAGGAATGGTCAGTGAGTACAATGGTGGCAACGGCATCAATTTTTGGTAAGTGAGTACAATGGTGGCAACAACATCAATTTTTGGTAAGAGATTCGATCGGAACTCGTAAAACAATGTCGTTTGAAAAAGCTTTTTGTTGCCAACGATTGGGGAGGTGAACGGGAGAGGGGTGAGATGGGTTGGGGATTGTTGTCATCGAAACAAACCCCTATTTATTGATGCCAACGGTGGTGTTTGAGGTGTTTTTGTAGATTTTAAACCTATAGAGATTTACATGTATTTTTGTTATATTTCAAACTTTTGAACACCAATTTAACATGTCAAACTGCTTAAACCAGTCAACTCGAAACTCGACCACTTTGTCCGATTTCACCTACATACACGTTCTAATCGTCCGTCCAGATCTTTAACACTTAATTGTAATGAGCCTGCCTTTTCAAAAGAGATAGAAATCCATACTTCATGTCTCTTACCTCCCTGATCATCCTTTTCAACATCTAAACTATTTCACCTACTCTAGAAAATACGTGTTGTGTTCAACGTATTGTGGCAGTAAAGAATAATTCTCAAATTAACTTTCATTCAGGCATAATAATTCAACATCTTGATACTGAAACAAATAACTAAAATCATTCAGATAAAATCATGAATAATAAACAAAGGTCATAACGTCCAGCCCAACGAGAACAAGAATATAACACTTTGAAAGCAGTACCTCCAAGAAGGCATTAAACAACTAAATCCGACAAACACGAATGGACCAATTCGTTTCACACAAAAGACTAATGTACAGTGTAGACTTAAACAGACAGACCCATAAGTAGGTTAAACAAGAGGAAATGATTTGTAATACTGCTAAAATATATTATTATTGCTGCTTTGGCAAAAAATGGGGCAATACTTCTAGCAATCGCATCCGGTAGACCTCTGCTGGCTGGTGCTTCCAACGTCAATGGTGTCCGGCAAGTATCTTCAAACAAAAAGGTATTTGACAAGCACAGGAGCCAAAAACAGGGACATTAGTATCATTTTGCAAAAGAATGGAAACACAAGTTAAAACAAATTTAGGCTGCAAGTCATCAATATGGCATTATAATTATATTATCCTCAAAACTAGTGCAATCAACATTCTCACTTGATAAATGAAATAGATCAAAATATACAAGAAAATAAAATCAAACATGGAGAATTGAAAATAGATCTGAAATATTATACTTGCTATTTAGCCTGTAGTTTTATTATTATTATTATTTTATCCTTAATTATCAATTATTGATATCTGGTCTTCAGTCTGGGTGGTCATGCTTCATCATCTCGATTCAATATTTACATGGTGTAATGCCTTGAATCCAGTAGTTAAATGAAATAATGCGGTCACTCATGAGTACTTCATAAAATTGAGTCATGTCATGTCATGGTCATTAAACCATGTTTTCAGTAATATTTGATAATATTTGGTTTTTTCTTTCCTTTTCTGATTTCTCTATAATGCTTCTTCTATCCCTGATTATGTTCATAATTCACAGGCAGATTTTGATCTATGCACTGATTGCTTCAATAATGGGAAGTTTGGCTCCGGCATGTCTCATCGATTTATTTCTTATGGTGCCTGCTGAAGCTGCTGGGTGAGTGGTGGGAAGTGGACAGATAGGAGACCCTTCTCCTCCTCGAAGCATTGGAACTTTATAGAGAAAACTGGAATGAGATTGCAGAACATGTTGCCACTAAAACAAAAGCTCAATGTATATTGCACTTTGTTCAAATGCCGATTGAGGATGTATTTTTGATCATGATGAGATGTGTAGATGCCAAATCTAAAGAAACTCAGATCCTACTGCAACCAATGAGATACATCTACCCCTAAAGATGTTCCTGAAACATCAGAAAGTAAGACAGGTGCAAATGAGGGTCAGACCCAAACTTCACCTATGGAAACTTCAAAATCAGAAGATGCAAATGCTACGAATATATGTCAGGAAACTTCAAAACCTGAAGATGAAAATAAAGTTAAAGTTGGTGAGGAAATGTTAAAATCTGAAGACACCAATGAAGTGAAAGTTCCGGAGACTGGTGAAAACATTGCATTGAAGGCTCTTAGGGAAGCATTTGAAGCTGTTGGTTATCATCAGCCTGAAAGCCCACATTCCTTTGCTGAAGTTGGAAACCCTGTCCTGGCATGGTAAATATACAATTTTCTTGTAATTTATCCGTGATGGAAATTAATAACTTTCCTTGTCTTGTGTATGACTAAATGGGTATGACGTAAAAAAATATTGTTGTTAATGTTTGCAAAGATATGCCTGAAGCTTTATCTTGTGAGGAGAAAAAGTTTATTGCTTATTTGCATTAATAAGTTACATTCTGTATTGCTCTCTTCCACAGGTGGCATTCTTGTCACTGTTGGTGGGGCCTGACGATGCTACTGCATCAAATCGTGGTTCTTTGAAATCCATATCTGGCAATTCTCCTGCCATCAGTTGGCTGCAAGGCACTGCTTTGTTTTGGAAGATCCCAGGTGACAAGAAGGAACCAACTCAGTCTGAGAGGTATGTAAATTTATATGGAGCTTAGTTATGTGGCATTTTCGAGTTTTTTCTGATGTCAATAAGAGATTTGCAGTGTTGCTAAAAATGCCGATCAGGACACTCAAAAAGATGATAGTGGAAGACAGAAAGAACAAAGAGGATAACACTACCACAATGCTGGATGAAAGAGATTTGCCAATGATCATGACAGCAAGATAACTGAAGAGTCTGTTCCAGAAGAAAAGAGAACATCACCCTCTTCCAATGATAAACCGACAGAGAATTAAATGCTGTAAAAGAAACAGGCAACAAAGTTATTCCTGAAAGAGTTGAACCTAGTGATTTGAATCAATTAAGCAATCAAGAATTGCCCAAAGAAAATCAACCAGCATTGAGGAGGAATCCAATGATTATCATCCAAGGTGTGCTCAAGCTCTGTGAAAGAGTCTGGTGAGGGTAATTCAGTTGGAGAGCTTCTTCATCGGTAGAGGTAGCCAAGGATGTTGAATTGTCTTCTGATGCTCATCCATCGGAAAGGAGTGAGGCTGGTCAGCCAGCATATCAAATTCAGATGTAGTTCCATCTCAACCTTCAAAGGCAACAAAGGATATTGATACGGTTTCTAATTCTCTTCCACGGGAGATTATGAACCCGAGCAACCAGTTGCATCAAGTTCCAAAGCAGAGGCTCTCAAACTTTGGAAGCCACGAAGGATGTGGATATGGTGGTCTAATTCACTGCCTTTGAATCGAATGAGCCTCAACAGACAGATTCAATTACTGAAAATGGAACAACTGCAGGTCTTTTTATGCCTCTTTTTCTCTCCTCTCTAAAACCATCGTATTGATTGGGAAACTGAAGTCCCAAGAAGCATCGATTGTTAACAATATCAAGCATGAGCTTGGGAACTCTTAGAAAAAAAAAGGGTCAAATATTATAATAAATGCAAAAATAGGGAGGAAATCAATGCATATGTTGAATGATTATAAGCATATAATATCTTTCAGAAATATCACAGAATGCATTATGAATGTGAAAAAATTTGAGTGATCTGATAAACCATGTGTGATAAATTTAACAAGTAAATGATGTCTCAATTAGTGTATCAGGATAGTTTGTCATTATGTTTTGTGCTCCAGCTATGCTAAGGTGAATAGGAGCTTGTTCAATTGGGAGTTGTGGACTTCTGGATGCATTCTGATTTCTGATTGTTCTCTTAAATTTTCCATTTTTTGCAGGTGAGGATCAAACAAAAGATGTTAAAGAAGAGAGCATGACCATAGAGAGGCAAAAGATGAACATAATATTGATAAATAAAGCATGCAGCAGTTACTGCACTCTCTGCTGCAGCAGTGAAGGCAAAACTTCTTGCTAATCAGAGAGGATCATATTCGACAACTTGCTACATCATTGATAGAAAAGCAGGTAATTTATAGCCAAGTGGGCTCTCTATGTTGTCTATCTGCTGACTTGAGTTTTGACTTCTTGGAAGCTTACATTTGTTGCAGTGTACAAAAGTTAGAAGCCAAGGTAGCTTTCTTTAATGAGATGGATAATGTGACTGTGAGGGTTAGAGAGCAATTGGAGAGATCAAGACAGAGGCTTTACCAGGAACGAGCTCAAATAATTGCAGCTCGACTTGGCTCTTCCAGACCAATTCCAACATCGATGCCTGCCAACAGAATGCCACCGAACTTTGCTAACTCTGTTGCAAGACCTCCTATGAGCATGACTTCCACACGGCCACCAATGTCAAGACCCATGGGGACTGTAGGTCCTACCCCTTCTAAACATTTGTCTCAACAACAGCAACTGGAAGTTCAGTTCGGCCTTCAAATCAGGACAAATTTTCTTCTCTTGGAATGAAATAGTCTCATGTCGTATAAATCGTGAATACAGTTTTATCCAGCAATCCCCTGATAGTTTTCCAAGTGAGTAACTATTGCTTTCTTTGTCAATCATATTATAAAAACTTGCTGATAATTGTTGCCTCAATCCAATAACTAAATCCACTTCAACTGGAAATCAGTAAATGCAAATAATCAAAAAAAAAAAAAATAACCGTCCAATTTAATTTCGACGGTGTAGATTTACTCTCCAGTGAAACCCGTCTACATAAATTGTAGACCGCCGATACACGGAAACATAAAGAGAAAATTTATATTTCCAGATTCAATTTATATCTTCCAGGTGTCTGACATTCCGTATATCCAATAAAACGCTTTCCTTTTTCGTGGAAGAAACGGTTTTTGTGCGTGCCAATAACAATCAAATAAATGTGCTAGAGCAGAGAGGCAATTCCACTCTGAACCAAAAACCTTGAAACGAACCAAATCGTATAATGGAAGAGAAGCGCCGGGAAGCCGGGAGTCTGCCGGCGGCTACGAGCTCAGCCGGTGTCGGGGTCGAGTCACCGGCGTCAGAACCAGCTTCGTCGCGGCGCCGAGCGGGAGGGCAGAAAAGGAAAGCCACGGCGCTCTCAGCAGGCAACACTTCATCAACGCCGTCGAAACGAATCACTCGCGACAAGAACTCAAATTCTCATACCCCGATCTACAACCACAACGGACCATTGACGAGAGCTCGCCAGGGCCCTAGCAGTCTCAGTGCATCGGCCGGAGGAACGGCTTTGGCTGGCGGAAAGCTCGAAGGGGCACGTGATGACTTGAAGCTGGAGGTGGTTGAGGAACTGAACAAAGAGAGTCAACAGTGGGAGGCTTTGGAGGCGAAAATCGAGGCGGATTTTGAGGCGATTAGATCTCGTGATAGTAATGTTCATGTGGTGCCTACACATTGTGGTGAGTTTTTCTGTTTTTGTTTTTAATTTTTACTTTGATTGTAAAACCTAAACTTTTGTGTGTTCTGAGAGCTAAGTTGAGCTAAATTTGATATTTTGTTTTTGTTACTGAAAAAAAAAATTGTGTAAATTAATAGTTCTAAGCTTGCAAAACTTTACATTCTGTTTGGTATCTAAGCTGAGCTAGATTTTGTTGGGTTCTGTTTGTATGAATGTTAGATTTTGCATTTTCTCAGGAATTTAGTATATTTCTATTTGGTTGCCAAGGAAATAAATTGTGGATGGTTGGCATTTTTTGTTTTTTTGGCCACTCAGTAGATTTTTTCTTTCATTTTATTGGTTTCAAAATGGGGAATGAGTTCCAAAGTTGAGGTTTTTATAGTTGTCTTTGGTTTCTTTTGGTTTACATGATCATTCTAGATTGGATATTTTGACGGGAAACTTCCTTTCTTTTTTCCTTTGCTGTCTGAGAAATAAGTTGAGACAGAGGTCACAGTCTTGAAAATTTTTGCTGCCTTAATACATGTACCTCTACTGAGCTGAATTGCTAAACTGTATTTTGGTTTGGGTTAAACGTCTCAGGTAGGAGATTTTTAGTTTTATACTTTCAATATTGTTTCTTTCATGGAACCAAAATTTTGATTGTATTCAGTCCAATGTTGATTACTGGCATTTATGGCTGTGAAAATATGGAATGAGAATGAGATTTTGAATTTTGTAATGTATTGGATTTATAAAATGTATAAATAGCCAAATACCTCTATGTGTGGCAGATAAGCAAGTTTGTTTTTTCTGGTTCAAAACAATCTTATCTTCCCCACCCTATGGTTCATGGCCATAGGTTGGGGAACATTGATGTCCACTTTTATCATTGGATGCAAACTTGGTTTGGGATGAACTACCCTGATTGAAGCTCGTTCCTCTTAATTACCTCGAATAATTAAGTAAAAGAAAATGAAGATTTTGATTTTTCTTTTGTGTGTGACAATGAAAGCTTTGTTTTCAATTTTGACTCTTATCACCAGCACATGCTGCCTGCAGGTTGGTTTTCATGGACAAGAATTCATCCTCTCGAGGAGCAAGGATTGCCTTCTTTTTTCAATGGGAAGTCCCAGAACCGAACTCCTGATATGTATATGGAGATTCGGAATTGGATTATGAAGAAGTTCCATGCAAATCCAAACATTCAAATTGAATTGAAAGATTTGTCAGAACTGGAAGTTGGATGTGTGGATGATAAGCAGGAGGTGCTGGAGTTCTTGGACTACTGGGGCTTAGTCAATTTCCATCCATTCCCACCCGAATCCACTGCCACAAATGCTGATGGTGATAGGGTGGCAAATGCTGATGTTGACATGGCGGCTAATATTGACGATGGTGGAGCAGCAAAAAAGGATTCCTTGCTTGAAAATTTATATCACTTTGATGAAATTCAATTATGTCCTCGTGTTGCTCCAAAGCCTAAGGTAATATCTCCCGCTGCCCCATCTGGGTTGTTTCTAGAGTCTGCAATTGCTGAAGAGTTGGTGAAGCCTGAGGGGCCAGGTGTTGAGTACCATTGCAACTCTTGTTCGGCTGATTGCTCTCGTAAGCGCTATCATTGCCAAAAGCAGGTTGTTTTTTTCCCCCCTTATGGCTTATGAGCTCTGAAATTTATTACTTTGCTATTTATGCCTGTAGTTTTTATTATTATTATTATTATTATCCTTAATTATCAATTATTTGATATCTGGTCTTCAGTCTGGGTGGTCATGCTTCATCATCTCGATTCAATATTTACGTGGTGTAATGCCTTGAATCCAGTAGTTAAATGAAATAATGCGGTCACTCATGAGTACTTCATAAAATTGATTGTCATGTCATGTCATGGTCATTAAACCATGTTTTCAGTAATATTTGATTAATATTTGGTTTTTTCTTTTCCTTTTTCTGATTTCTCTATAATGCTTCTTCTATCCCCTGATTATGTTCATAATTCACAGGCAGATTTTGATCTATGCACTGATTGCTTCAATAATGGGAAGTTTGGCTCTGGCATGTCATCATCGGATTTTATTCTTATGGTGCCTGCTGAAGCTGCTGGTTTGAGTGGTGGGAAGTGGACAGATCAGGAGACCCTTCTCCTCCTCGAAGCATTGGAACTTTATAGAGAAAACTGGAATGAGATTGCAGAACATGTTGCCACTAAAACAAAAGCTCAATGTATATTGCACTTTGTTCAAATGCCGATTGAGGATGTATTTTTTGATCATGATGATAGTGTAGATGCCAAATCTAAAGAAACTTCAGATCCTACTGCAACCAATGACGATACATCTACCCCTAAAGATGTTCCTGAAACATCAGAAAGTAAGACAGGTGCAAATGAGGGTCAGACCCAAACTTCACCTATGGAAACTTCAAAATCAGAAGATGCAAATGCTACGAATATATGTCAGGAAACTTCAAAACCTGAAGATGAAAATAAAGTTAAAGTTGGTGAGGAAATGTTAAAATCTGAAGACACCAATGAAGTGAAAGTTCCGGAGACTGGTGAAAACATTGCATTGAAGGCTCTTAGGGAAGCATTTGAAGCTGTTGGTTATCATCCGCCTGAAAGCCCACATTCCTTTGCTGAAGTTGGAAACCCTGTCATGGCATTGGTAAATATACAATTTTCTTGTAATTTTATCAGTGATGGAAATTTAATAACTTTCCTTGTTCTTGTGTATGACTAAATGGGTATGACGTAAAAAAAATTTGTTGTTAATGTTTGCAAAAGATATGCCTGAAGCTTTATCTTGTGAGGAGAAAATAGTTTACTTGCTTATTTGCATTAATAAGTTACATTCTGTATTTTGCTCTCTTCCACAGGTGGCATTCTTGTCACTGTTGGTGGGGCCTGACGATGCTACTGCATCAACTCGTGGTTCTTTGAAATCCATATCTGGCAATTCTCCTGCCATTCAGTTGGCTGCAAGGCACTGCTTTGTTTTGGAAGATCCCCCAGGTGACAAGAAGGAACCAACTCAGTCTGAGAGGTATGTAAATTTATAAGGAGCAATAGTTATGTGGCAGTTTTCGAGTTTTTTCTGATGTCAATAAGAGATTTGCAGTGTTGCTAAAATTGCCGATCTGGACACTCAAAAAGATGATTACCTGGAAGACAGAAAGAACAAAGAGGATAACACTACCACAATGCTGGATGAAAGAGATTTGCCAAATGATCATGACAGCAAGATAACTGAAGAGTCTGTTCCAGAAGAAAAGAGAACATCACCCTCTTCCAATGATAAACCGACAGAGGAATTAAATGCTGTAAAAGAAACAGGCAACAAAGTTATTCCTGAAAGAGTTGAACCTAGTGATTTGAATCAATTAAGCAATCAAGAATTGCCCAAAGAAAATCAACCAAGCATTGAGGAGGAATCCAATGATTTATCATCCAAGGTTGCTCCAAGCTCTGTGAAAGAGTCTGGTGAGGGTAATTCAGTTGGAGAGCCTTCTTCGTCGGTAGAGGTAGCCAAGGATGTTGAATTGTCTTCTGATGCTCATCCATCGGAAAGGAGTGAGGCTGGTCAGCCAGCTATATCAAATTCAGATGTAGTTCCATCTCAACCTTCAAAGGCAACAAAGGATATTGATACGGTTTCTAATTCTCTTCCACGGGAGATTATTGAACCCGAGCAACCAGTTGCATCAAGTTCCAAAGCAGAGGCCTCTCAAACTTTGGAAGCACCGAAGGATGTGGATATGGTGTCTAATTCACTGCCTTTGGAATCGAATGAGCCTCAACAGACAGATTCAATTATTGAAAATGGAACAACTGCAGGTCTTTTTATGCCTCTTTTTGTCTCTCCTCTCTAAAACCATCGTATTTGATTGGGAAACTGAAGTCCCAAGAAGCTAGCGATTGTTAACAATATCAAGCATGAGCTTGGGGAACTCTTAGAAAAAAAAAAGGGTCAAATATTATAATAAATGCAAAAATCAGGGAGGAAATCAATGCATATGTTGAATGATTATAAGCATATAATATCTTTCAGAAATATTCACAGAATGCATTATGAATGTGAAAATAATTTGAGTGATCTGATAAACCATGTGTGATAAATTTAACAAGTAAATGATGTCTCAATTAGTGTATCAGGATAGTTTGTCATTATGTTTTGTGCTCCAGCTATGCTAAGGTGAATAGGAGTCTTGTTCAATTGGAAGTTGTGGACTTCTGGATGCATTCTGATTTCTGATTGTTATCTCTTTAAATTTTCCATTTTTTGCAGGTGAGGATCAAACAAAAGATGTTAAAGAAGAGAAGCATGACCATAGAGAGGCAAAAGATGAACATAATATTGATAAAATAAAGCATGCAGCAGTTACTGCACTCTCTGCTGCAGCAGTGAAGGCAAAACTTCTTGCTAATCAGGAAGAGGATCATATTCGACAACTTGCTACATCATTGATAGAAAAGCAGGTAATCTTATAGCCAAGTGGGCTCTCTATGTTGTCTATCTGCTGACTTGAGTTTTGACTTCTTGGAAGCTTACATTTGTTGCAGTTACAAAAGTTAGAAGCCAAGTTAGCTTTCTTTAATGAGATGGATAATGTGACTGTGAGGGTTAGAGAGCAATTGGAGAGATCAAGACAGAGGCTTTACCAGGAACGAGCTCAAATAATTGCAGCTCGACTTGGCTCTTCCAGACCAATTCCAACATCGATGCCTGCCAACAGAATGCCACCGAACTTTGCTAACTCTGTTGCAAGACCTCCTATGAGCATGACTTCCACACGGCCACCAATGTCAAGACCCATGGGGACTATAGGTCCTACCCCTTCTAACTCATTTGTCTCAACAACAGCAACTGGAAGTTCAGTTCGGCCTTCAAATCAGGACAAATTTTCTTCTCTTGGAATGAAATAGTCTCATGTCGTATAAATCGTGAATACAGTTTTATCCAGCAATCCCCCTGCTAGTTTTCCAAGTGAGTAACTATTACTTTCTTTGTCAATCATATTATAAAACTTGGCAAATCAAATTTTGGAGTGTTTCATTGATAATTAGGAAGCTTTTAGCCTGTTGAGTTAAACCTCATTATATATATCCAAGATTGTGACTGTTTATATGACCTTATAAATCAGAATATTTTCCACTTGAAGTTTCTGATTAAAAAATATTGCATTTATCAAGTTCTTATCACTATCCAGAATTCAGTTGTGATTATTTAGCTTAATGTATTTTTCATCTTTAATCCAACCAGTTCTTGGAAAGTCTTCAAGTTTGCACATTACAACTCAGGTGGTGGAATCAAATTTTTTCTAGTGATATGAAGAGCCAAAGTTTGGATATGGAAATTCACTTCCCATCTCACTCTTGGCATCATATTGGGAGGGAGAAGCTGGTTTTTTGGCATCTTCCCATGTTGAGCGACAATTGTTGGGGTAATACCCGCGTTAAAACTTAGAAACTTGCATATTAGGTTTTTGTTGATGTTTGTATCTTTGGAAGGCCAAAGTCTAACTTATGATATATTTAACTAGTGTAAGTTTGAGCAAGGTTTGTACCTTTAGTAGCTTTACCCTAATAATTATGATCTATGGTTCTCAGGTGTAAATATGTAGATGTTAGATTTAACATAGGTGCTTTGATGTTAGATAATGCTCATTCTGCTGTTGTATATGGTTTCAACGTAATTTGTTGTGAGTGCTTTTTAACTTTTTTGATTTGGGATTAACATTTGACATTTTCCTTATGAAGCAGTGCATAAAAATGTTTGCAGTCCTTAGGAAGTGATGAACCATGGTGTCTGTCTCTGCATTCACTACTACTGTGAATGAAGATTCTACATTCGAAGTCAGGTCCAATCACCATTGATATGCTTTTTCCTTTTCTAATCTTGGAAATTGACTTTCCGAATCTAGCACATCTGGAAAGTGGAAACTCGGCCTGCATATGTTCTGGATCAGATTTCTTGATAAACGAAAGACTAGGATGATTCCCATATCTAGAATCGAGTTATAAGGATGATTCCCATTTCCCATACGTCTATAATTGAGTTATTCGTTCTGGATTCGATTTGGATGATTCCCATGTCTCTTGATTGTAGTTGGCATGAGAAACTTTATGTATGTTATTATGTACCACCAGTGTTTTAAGACCTGGCTTGGCCTGGCCGCTTGAATTAGCTCAATCGAGACTTAGAGTGGTGGAGCCTTCATCGGATTGGGTTACAAATTTTCCTATTCATTAAAAACCTCAAAAATTAGGATATCAATCAAACAATTAAAGGTTGGAATGTTAAAGCTTTTGAAGAGGAATGTTTAGTGAGTACAATGGTGGCAACGGCGTCAATTTTTGGTAAGAAATTCGATCGGAAATCGTAAAACAATGTTATCTGAAAAAGCTTTTTGTTGCCAACGATTGGATAGGCGAATGGGAGAGTGGTGAGATGGGTTGGGGATTGTTGTTGTCATCGAAAATAGACCCCTATTTGTTAATGCCAACGGTGGTGTTTGGGGTGTTTTTGTAAGATTTTAGACCTGTAGGAATTTACATGTATTTTTGTTATATTTCAAAGTTTTGGACGCCAATTTAACCCCTCAAACCGCTTAAACCAGTCAACTCGAGACTCGACCACTTTGTCCGATTTCACCCAGATTGGATTTTAAAACATTGCTACATGCAGGTTCTAACCGTCCGTCCAGATCTTTAACACTAAATTGTAATGAGCCTGCCTTTTCAAAAGAGATAGAAATCCATACTTCATGTCTCTTACCTCCCTGATCATCCTTTTCAACATCTAAACTATTTCACCTCCCCTAGAAAATACGTGTTGTGTTCAACGTATTGTTGCAGTAAAGAATAATTCTCAAATTAACTTTCATTCAGGCATAATAATTCAACATCTTGATACTGAAACAAATAACTAAAATCATTCACATAAAATCATGAATAATAAACAAAGGTAATAACATCCAGCCCAACGAGAACAAGAATATAACGCTTTGAAAGCAGTACCTCCAAGAAGGCATTAAACAACTAAATCCGACAAACACGAATGGACCAATTCGTTTCACACAAAAGACTAATGTACAGTGTAGAATTAAACAGACAGACCCATAAGTAGGTTAAACAAGAGGAAATGATCTGTAATACTGCTAAAATATATTATTATTGCTGCTTTGGCAAAAAATGGGGCAATACTTCTAGCAATCGCATCCGGTAGACCTCTGCTGGCTGGTGCTTCCAACGTCAATGGTGTCCGGCAAGTATCTTCAAACAAAAAGGTATTTGACAAGCACAGGAGCCAAAAACAGGGACATTAGTATCATTTTGCAAAAGAATGGAAACACAAGTTAAAACAAATTTAGGCTGCAAGTCATCAATATGGCATTATAATTATATTATCCTCAAAACTAGTGCAATCAACATTCTCACTTGATAAATGAAATAGATCAAAATATACAAGAAAATAAAATCAAACATGGAGAATTGAAAATAACTGAGTTAAAAAATAAATGGTAAGAATATTTTACTTCTTTTCTACTGCTAAACATAACTAAAACAGGAAGAATCCAAATGAATGGGTGTGTGGTGTGTGTTAGAATAATTAATGTTATACTCCATCACATATAAGAAACAGATAAAAAAAAAAATCAGAGCTTTTATGTAGATAGAAATGGTTCATCTTTTTAACTTACATTTCTTCCTCCTCCCCACTCTTCAGGGCATTCTTAGCTATGCACTGGAAAGCTTCTTCCACATTAAGTCCTTCCTTAGCAGAGGTTTCAAAATATGGGATATTTCCTTTGGAGGCACACCAAGCTCGAGCCTTCTTCTCTGAGACCTGGAAAATTCACGAAATGTAGCATGTTGACTTAAAACTTGATAATCCAGCTTAGTATGATAAGTATTTGTAGGTGCACAAGTGTGCATGAGAGAGAGAGTATATGATAATTGATAATGGAAAATACATACCACTCTACTGTTTCCACCATCCACATCAATCTTATTTCCTAGAACAACAAATGGGAAATTCTCTGGATCTGAAGGACTTGCCTGCAAGAGGTTTCTCAAATTAATTATCAAAAACGCAAATTCTCTATTACTTAAATAAATTTAGTAGTATTTGGTCACTTTTCATAAAAAATTACAAAAGCACAGAAGAAATACCTGAATAAGGAATTCTTCTCTCCAGTTATTCAGGTTGTCAAACGATTTCATTGAATTTACATCATAAACAAGTACACAGCAATCAGCACCACGATAGAAAGCAACACCTAGGCTTTGGAATCTTTCCTGACCAGCAGTATCCCAGATCTGAGGAAAAAGAACACTGTCACTAATCCTTTTGGCAAAGAAAAACTCAAAACTTAAAAAGAAATCAAAACTTTACAACCTAATTGTAACAATCAGTGTTAGCTAAACAAGTTTAGATGGTACGCACACTTAACCAGAAAAAAATTAATCACATTTTCATCAAATTAAACATTCAGGTTCTTTCTACCAAAAAACACCAAGTGAACGTGAAAGACTCCACAAGCTTTTAACCAATCATAATCCTAAGAGATCTTTTAAAAAAATCCCAAATACTTGTCAATAGAATTTTATGTATTGTATACATGAAAGAAAGAGGGTCTGCTCTTTAAGATTGCCCCAAAGAACAGTGATCTAACAGCTGCTAGTTCATTCCAACTCCAATCCATGAATGTTAAGCACTAACAGCTTGAAATTTTTTGCATGAAGCAAGACAGAAAACTAGCCCACCATTAATCGTACAACTGCAAACCAGAGATACATCCAAACAGATTTTTTTCTTTTTTTATTTCATTTTACCTTATTTTGTCTTTTTATTTAGAAAGATTTGATCCTACATCCATCTAGGCTACTGTCCACATTCCACCTCTACACTTACAATGAAAGCACATCAAACCAAGAGTGAATCAAAGCAATCCAACCGAAATTAACGAAAACAAACATTGAAACACCTAGACTCCAGCAACATAAAAATAATTAGGACAAGTAGCTCAGTACCCATCCGACCCGAACAAAAAAACTCAGGACATCACCAACCTGTAATGTGAAAAGCCTATCTTCAAACTGAACTTCCTTTGTCAGAAAATCAGCTCCAATAGTAGCCTTGTATTGATTGCTAAACTTCTTATTTACATATCTTAAAACAAAAAGTCAAGTCAAACACCACCACGGAAATCAATGAAAGAATTGTCCTCACATTAACAATAATCTCATTCATTTAAAATAAAAAAAAGAAAAATACCACTCAATCAATCAATTAATTCAAAAATATGAGCTAAAAAAAGGATACTGGTTCATCAACGAGGTCTTGCCAACCCTGTAAGATACAAATTAAAACAAATTACGTCAATCAATCGCGTTAATACAGCACTAAACAAAAGAACCTTCATAATTAAAGCTCTAAAGTGTTGATTAATTATAGATAAACTAACCTAAATCACAATTCAGTCCGAATTATGATTAAAAACCAAAAAAAATAATCGGATCATACCCCGGAAATCTAAGATCTCGAAGATCCGTCTAATCTGTACGGAAACCCTAAAACTGAAATAAAAAGAAGAACGAAACCAAACCTAAACTAAACTGCAGATAAACTCGTACAAAACAAGCAATTAAACAAGACGAATTCACGAATTAACAAATCAACTGACCCGCTGTCACCGAGGATGATGACCTTCAGGAGAGTTCTTCTACGGGACGGCATCGTTTCAACAGGGATCAATGGATCTGCGAAGAGCGCGAGGGAGGGCGGGATGGATGGAGGGAGGGAGTTGCGAGTGTGGTTTAAAACGACGGTCTCGAGTGTCGTAGAGAGGTTTTTTCGAAGAGGTTTACAAAGGTGGTCGGACTTTTCTAGTTAAAACTTTTCTGCTCACTCGTGGGAAAGCTGTAGTGACCTGTAATTTGGCTTCGACTCAAATTAGTTTTAATTATATTTTGGGCAATGTTCCCGTGACAGCTGTTGGTGTCTATTCTTTACGTGAAAGTCAAATGCCATTATTCCTATTTTGATTGGGCTATTAGTCTTACCCAATAAGAGAAACCGTCCTAGCAGGAGAGAATCGACATTTATTCGGCTATTTTGAAGCACTACGTCAAGAAATGTCTTTTTTTTTTTCTTTATTGGCGCCATTAATAGGCAAATTAAACAACCAGATCAATCAAAACCAACCAACAAAATGGAAGGTTTTAGTAAACACAAGGTTAAGGCAAAATCTGATGATAAGTTTGGTACATCAAACCATAATTTTGTAGTTTTTGGTCAAAAACTTAAATTAATTTTGAAAAACATCGTCGTTACACACATAAATGGTGTGAGCTGAGCCAGAGGAATTTCCCCTACTTTGTAGGAGGTTATTACTGATTCTGGCAAAGCACACAGGCTCTCACGTTGTAAATTCTTAAACTACTTTCTTTTTTGTTTCTTCCCGTTTTGACAGTTCTTGCTACCATCTCTCGCTCTCTCTCTCTGGTATGTAACTGATTAATTGTATTCTCTGTGGGTTTGTTTCAAGTTGTTTTTGTTTATGTTAATGTTAATGTTGGTTGTGTTTTAATTAGGGACATCATTTGGCGGAGCGGTGTGGGGTTTCTCCGGCGTCTTTGGGGAGTAATTATCTTATAATCATGAGTGCTAACGGCGGTTCGCAGACTCCTCCATCTTCATCACAATCACCGCCACCAAATTCTGGGTCACCACCTCCGTCATCTCCACCTCCGTCATCATCATCATCACCACCTCCATCATCACCACCTCTATCGTCGCCACCTCCTTCGAAGTCGTCCCCACCACCACCTTCTTCTCCACCTCCATCTTCATCATCATCTCCACCTCCATCGTCGCCACCACCACCTTCTTCATCATCATCATCATCTCCACCTCCNATCTCTCGCTCTCTCTCTCTGGTATGTAACTGATTAATTGTATTCTCTGTGGGTTTGTTTCAAGTTGTTTTTGTTTATGTTAATGTTAATGTTGGTTGTGTTTTAATTAGGGACATCATTTGGCGGAGCGGTGTGGGGTTTCTCCGGCGTCTTTGGAGAGTAATTATCTTATAATCATGAGTGCTAACGGCGGTTCGCAGACTCCTCCATCTTCATCACAATCACCGCCACCAAATTCTGGGTCACCACCTCCGTCATCTCCACCTCCGTCATCATCATCATCACCACCTCCATCATCACCACCTCTATCGTCGCCACCTCCTTCGAAGTCGTCCCCACCACCACCTTCTTCTCCACCTCCATCTTCATCATCATCTCCACCTCCATCGTCGCCACCACCACCTTCTTCATCATCATCATCATCTCCACCACCACCTTCTTCATCATCATCATCATCTCCACCTCCACCTCCATCATCTTCATCATCCTCGCCGCCACCGCCACCAGTATCATCATCATCACCACCTCCATCACCGCCAAAATCATCTTCGCCACCTCCATCCTCTCCGCCGCCGTCCTCTTCACAATCCTCGCCCCCACCGAATAATTCAAATTCAAACTCTCCACCAAGTAATAACCCACCTCCATCACCACCTACAAATTCCAACAGCAACTCCTCACCACCTACCAATAACAACAACAACAATAACAGCACAAAGAATAACAATACTAGCAGTGGCAGCAACAACCAATGGCGCTCACCACCACCACCTCCATCATCGTCCAAGTCACCGCCGTCCAGTAATTCGTCAGGAAGGCTGGTGCCTCCAAGTCAGACATCATCAAATACACCATCCTCATCATCCACCAGTTCCAGTAGCAGTGGCTCCAACGTGTCCATTCCTCTTGTGGGGGCGATTGCGGCTGGAGCTGGTTTGTTGCTCGTTATCGCATTACTTTTGTTCATTGCATGCAGGAGAAAGAAGAATCACCATAACGGCAAAGGTACCTAATTCAAGCGTGCACACACATGCGGAGTAATTGAATTGTAATTTCTAATAATTAATGGAAGCGAGTTCTAAATTGCTGATGTTTATATGCAGGTAGTGACTATTATTCTAATGCTACTTCGCCCTCGCCCTATCGACAGCATGCCCATTGGCAGAATTCGCAAGTTCATGGTACATATATACAAACTGTTCTGCATGGATCTTTATTTCAATTCTCACAAAACTGAAAAACTAAGAAGCTACAAAATTATTGCTCGTGGTTAATGTGCAGGTGGAGGAACTGATCAATATTACAACAGTCCTCACAATCAACATCGTAACAGTTTGCCGCACAATAAAATTCTACCTCCACCTCCACCTCCTTTTGGAGGCCATCCAACGCCACCTCACGGTGGACCGACAAGCACTGACATAAGTAACTCTAGCTACTCAGGGTCACATGGACCTCTAGCGCCGCCCCCACCCCCACCTCCAGCCATGTCTCTAGGGTCAAATCAAAGCAGCTTCACTTATGAAGAGTTAGCAGCTGCAACCGACGGGTTCTCTCAGGCTAACCTATTAGGTCAAGGTGGGTTTGGATATGTGTACAAGGGGACATTGCCCAATGGCAAAGAAGTGGCCGTGAAGAGCCTGAAATCCGGTAGTGGACAAGGTGAACGTGAATTTAAGGCTGAGGTTGAGATCATTAGCCGTGTTCATCATCGCCACCTTGTTTCTCTTGTGGGATATTGCATTGCAAGTGGTCAAAGGATGCTCGTTTATGAATTTCTTCCCAATAACACCCTTGAGTTCCACCTTCACGGTAATCCTTAATTACCTTTCCCACATTAGTGCCGTTAATATTAACATTTACCAATATCATCGTTGATTTTGATAGGAAAGGGAAGCCCAACTATGGATTGGCCTACCAGGCTTAAAATTGCGTTGGGATCAGCTAAAGGGCTTGCATATTTGCATGAAGATTGTAAGTATTCTGTACAATTAAGCTTTGTTCTCTCCTCTATTGCAGCCACAAATACACACAGATCAGTAATTAAAATGTTTGGTTCATGCACGCAGGCCACCCTCGCATTATCCACCGAGACATCAAGAGTTCAAACATTTTGCTTGATTGCACTGGTGAAGCTAAGGTATAAATATAACCGTTAATAGTTTATTTGTTTAGCTTGTTTCAACCTACCAATGACTATATGATGTTAATGTAAATTTCAATTATGGTTAATACTGGACCAGGTCGCTGATTTTGGCTTGGCTAAGTTGACTACAGACAACCACACTCATGTGTCCACTCGTGTCATGGGAACATTTGGGTAACAAGCTAAATGCCTCTTGTAAATTCTACATGAAGGAAAATTATAAGAAGAAATGAATTTTACAATCTTCCTAGCTAACAATAGGCCAAATAAATTGCAGGTATTTGGCGCCTGAGTATGCTTCAAGTGGCAAGCTCACTGACAAATCTGATGTTTTCTCCTTTGGCGTTATGCTTTTGGAACTAATAACTGGACGACGCCCTGTTGATCCATCTGGGGCTATGGAAGACAGCTTAGTAGACTGGGTGCGAACCCTCCCTTTTTACAAACAAAAACTTTGCTTATTTCTGATAATTTTGTTCTTTAATCTAAACAAATATAAGAAAAATATGTTCAACTGTGCTTTGGTTATATATGTGAACAGGCTCGACCTTTATGTATGCGTTCTCTTGAAGATGGAAACTTTAATGAGTTAGCAGATCCTTATCTGGAGAGGAACTATCCCGTCCATGAGATGGCACGCATGGTTGCATCTGCCGCTGCTTCCATTAGACATTCTGCGAGGAGAAGACCCAAAATGAGCCAGGTAACATAACACCAAATATTATCAATTCAAAATAAAGTGAGATTAAACAATAGTTGTCATGCTATAACAACATGTATGATGATGAACAGATTGTGCGTGCCCTAGAAGGTGACGTTGCTTTGGAAGACTTGCACAATGGTATAAAACCGCAAGCTTCATTTCTGGGCTCTTCGGGTGTTGGCAGCATCAGTTCTAGATCTTCTGACTATGACAACACGTACACTGACGACTTGAAGAGGTTGAAGAAGGTCGCCGCAACGGATCAGAGTGGTCAATTCAATAATAGCAGCGACTATGGAGCAACAAGCGAGTACGGACTCGACCCTTCCTCCTCAAGCAGCGAATATGGACCTGGAAGCCGGGGCCGGAGTCCTCAAGTAAAGACTAGAATGGGATATTGAAAAAGAAAAAAAGAAAAAAAACTGTTACTATGAAACGTACGATTAGGTGAAATTGACTGTAATTGTGTAGGTCTGACCTCCATGGAAATGGCCCAAAAATGCAGATTTAAAAGGGAAGTTTGGTGAAGGCGCAAAGTGTACGTAAAACTTGATTGCTGTGTTGTGAATGATGAGTACTAATTTTGAAATGGGGATTTGAATTCATTCTTTTATGTAGATTTTTTTTGTATATTGCTAGACCTAGATAGTTACTACGACTGATTTACTGACAGATTAATTCATTGTTTTAGCCTATTTCTTTTCCCTTGCATGTTACATAATATTTTAATTTTATATTAATATTACATGTATAAATGAAAATAACTAATAATTGAGTTAGGTGATTCAAGTTCGAACTCAGATTTTGACTTGGTTGTAATCGAATCAAGCTCAAGTAGAGTTCAAGCGGATCATATATCTATTGAGCTTGACCAGCTTCGACTATTCCAACTGAGTCGAGCTCGAGCTTTTCAATACTTGGTTTGGCTCAACTCGATTGTACTACTAAATGCCAGTAATTAGGAAATTTGCCTGACCCAACCGATTGAATCAAGACCCAAGGCCTTCACCAGATCAAGTAATAGATTTTTCTATTCATTCAAAATTCTAAAAATTAGGACATCAATCCATGAACAATTGAATGCTAAAATGTTAGAGTTTTTGAAGAGGAATGACCAATGAGTGGAATGGTGGTGACGAAGGTGATTTCCAATGAGCAAATCTACCGAAAATTACAAAAATAAGTCGCCGAAAAAAGCCCAATGTTGCCGGCAATTGGGGAGGCTAATAGGGGAGGAGTGAGATGGGTTTTGATTAGGAGGCTGAAGGAAGTGTTTTCGTGGTGACGGAGAGTGTTGTTGTTGCCGGAAACAGACCCTATTTATCGATGCCGACAATGGTGCTTATGTAACATTCAAACATAGAAGGACTTATATGAATATGTAAGGGTATTTTTGTTGGATTTCAAACCTTTAGACATCGGTTTGACTCACCGGTTAAATTGCTCGGCCCGATAACCTATGCAGGTTACTGCACAGGTCGAGTTTTAGAACATTGTTAAATGCTACTACATTGATTATTCAAATTGAACCATTTATAATTTTAATAAACATGATGAAATTAATATTAATCCAATTCTAAAAGAAAAACTTATAAAGATTCCCCTGATATTAATTCAGGAAAAATACCATGATATTTCCTCGTTGAGCTCGAATTCTTGTAGATCCTAATTCCAGCGTCTCTTTTTGTTCTTTTAAATTGTTAGATAAAATTTTACGAAACAATAGAAAAAAGAAAATCATATCAATAAAACAAAAGGGCAGTTAAGTAATTCACTCTCCTTTATAGGCACTTCATTAATGACGTGGCGCTTTCCCATTAGTCAGATCCTCTCAACAGCAAATACCTACACACTCTTCAAACACACTCTATTCTCACCCCATCGTCTTTCTAAATCCCCTTTAAACTTCCTGGCTTAAAGGCACTTGCCTAACACAAACAGACTACACCGAGCCTGAGCGAGCCTCGTCTTCCTTAAAATTTCACTGCTACGTTGCCCAACTCAAACAGAGAGACAGAGGTTCTAGATTTATATACGGATCTCAAGAGGATTTAATCACTCGATTCAGCCATGGCTCAGCCTCTCGTGAAGAAAGATGACGATCGTGACGACGAAGGTACCTGACGCCTTTTCAATTTTGTTTCGTTTCGTTTCTTCAATTCAATTTTGTTTGATTTACAAATCTCAGGCTATTAGTGCTAGATCAGCTGTAGGTTTTAGATCTGTGTAGATTCGCTCGTTTTAGGTGTATTTGTGGATCCAGTATTGAGATTGTACAGTGTCACTTCAATTGATTTGGATTTTTTTAAATTGATCTGATTAGGTAACGGTTTTGTAGTTGTAAATTGCAATGTGGATTGTTAATTAATTGTAATTATGGTTAATTTTACCTGATCTGAAGGAAAATGTCTGGTGATTTGGATCTGGTGGCTGTATAACTATTATTATTGTTTAACTTATTGTTGTCAAGAAATTGAATCGTGCTTATATGTGTAATTGCTGTTATTAACCAGCGGAGTACTCTCCATTTTTGGGAATTGAGAAGGGTGCGGTTCTGCAAGAAGCTAGAGTTTTCAATGACCCTCAGCTTGATCCTAGAAGATGCTCTCAGGTTTTGTAGTCACTCAAATCTTATTTTTGTATTTGCATTTGCATTTGCGTGCATTCGTTTAATAGCCATATTTTGTGTTGACGCATTTATATTTTTCAGGTCATCACAAAGCTTCTCTATTTACTGAACCAAGGAGAAACATTCAATAAGGTAACTTCAAGTCTATGGTTATATTATTTGAATTATTGGTTACAACAAGAATGACTCGATCTATGGCTATTTAGTACTTTATGATATGATATGATGAATCCTTCTTGGATGGTTTGATTTTGCATTAGATGAGTAGTGAAACTGTTGTTTTATACTACAATGATCCACTTCTGAATGATGTCTGCTTGCTCTAAATTTGTAGATCGAAGCCACAGAAGTTTTCTTTTCTGTGACAAAGCTTTTCCAATCCAGAGATATAGGCCTAAGGAGAATGGTCTATTTGATGATAAAGGAGCTATCTCCGTCCGCTGATGAGGTTATATGCCCTTGTTGAATTTTCTTTTTCATTTGTTATATCTCCGTCCGCTGATGAGGTTATATGCCCTTGTTGAATTTTCTTTTTCATTTGTTATAATCTTGTTCTTTTCACTTGTGCAAATATGGATACTGATGATCAATTTATTTATTTATTTATTTATTTTAAAGGTTATTATTGTGACTAGCTCCCTTATGAAGGACATGAATAGCAAGACGGATATGTATCGGGCAAATGCTATACGTGTGCTTTGCCGCATAACAGATGGAACCCTTCTAACCCAGATTGAACGGTATTTGAAACAAGCAATTGTTGACAAGAACCCAGTAGTTGCTAGTGCAGCCTTAGTCAGTGGAATCCACTTACTCCAGGTACTGTCAAATTATTTGTAGTAGATGAAGATCGCGTTTGGATATTCTAGTTGAAAATCATGCTAATTTGCATGATAATCCAACTGTTGATATTTTACAGACAAATCCAGAGATTGTGAAAAGATGGAGTAATGAGGTTCAGGAAGCTGTGCAATCAAGGGCAGCCCTTGTACAGTTTCATGCTTTGGCTTTGCTGCATCAGGTATGCTGGATTCCTAGTTTCATTAGTGTCCTTCACTCACCACCTCCCTTTAGGATTTGAAATTTATTGTTAGATTAAACCCAATCTATCATTTCATCGGATAGGGTATTTGTAGAATAAAATTTTAAAACTAACTAAAACACCCCGATTTGGGGTGTTTTCTAAACCCCTCAAAAATACACTACACTGGTTCTTGAGGGTTTTTGAGCCAGTCAAAACCAGTGCATAAAAAATCTGGCAAGTAATGGTTTTAGAACACCTCAAAACCAGTCTAATTAAAAGCTTCTCAAAACCAATAAAAAAAAAAAAAAAACTCCAAAGCAGAAGGGTTTTGAATGCACGAACAAGAACACATCTCAATTCAAATGTGTCCCTCAATGGTGACAGATTTATTGAGTGGATTTAGCGTGTAAGTAGTAGTTGTGTTGATCACCATAATGATATTTAACAAAGGATTCCAAGAATCCATATTAATTCTATTTGTTGGTATGAGTCCTGCCAATTTATATATCAGAAATCTTTTGTAGAAACACAATAACCAAAGACTGATCTTCTCTTGATCCAATATAAAAATTATATGGTGCATAATTTGAAACAAATTTTATGTTCCGTTAATAAAAAAGAAATAGTCTAGAATATCATAGTGCTACTAGGCTTGCAAACGAGCTATAGCTTGACTCGAGTGGAGCCGAGTTCAAGCCTAATAATACTTGATTCGAGTAACTTGTAAGCTTACTCGAACTGGACATATTATATAATATTTTAATTTTATATTAATATTACATATATAAATGAAAATAACTAATAATTGAGTTAGGTGATTCAAGTTCAAACTCGATTTTGACTTGGTTGTAATCGAATCAAGCTCAAGTAGAGCTCGAGCCGATCATATATCTATTGAGCTTGACCAACTTCGACTATTCCAGCCGAGCCGAGCTCGAGCTTATCAATACTTGGTTTGGCTCGGCTCAATTGCAACCCTAAATGCCAGTGATTAGGAAACTGGCCTAACTCGACCGATTGAATCGGGACCCAAGGCCTTCATCGGGTCGAGTTACAGATTTTTCTATTCATTCAAAACCCTAAAAATTAGGATATCAATCCATGAACAATTGAATGTTGAAATATTAGGGCTTTTGAAGAAGAATGACCAGTGAGTGGAATGGTGGCGACAGAGATGATTTTTGATGAGTGAATCAACCGGAAACCGCAAAAATAAGTCGCCGGAAAAGCCCAATGTTGCCGGCGATTTGGGAGGCTAATAAGGGAGGGGTAATTTAGGTTTTGGTTAGGAGGCTGAGGGAAGTGTTTTCCTGGTGATGGGGAGTGTTGTTGTTACGGGAAACATACCCTATTTGCCGATGTCAATAGTGGTGTTTGTGTAAGATTTCAAACCTATAAAGACTTATATGAATATATAAGGGTATTTTTGTTGGATTTCAAATCATTAAACACTAGTTTGACTCACCGATCAAACTGGTTAAACCGCTCGACCTAGGATCGGTAGCCTAGGCAGGTCACTGCACGGGTCGGGTTTTAAAAATTGCTAAATGCTACTACATTGATTATTCAAAATGAACTATTTATAATTTTAATAAACATGATGAAATTAATATTAATCCAATTCTAAAAGAAAAACTTATAAAGATTCAGCTGATATTAATTCAGGAAAAATACCATGATATTTCCTCGTTGAGCTCGAATTCTTGTAGATCCTAATTCCAACGTCTCTTTTTGTTCTTTTAAATTGTTAGATAAAATTTTACGAAACAATAGAAAAAAGAAAATTATATTAATAAAACAAAAGGGCAGTTAAGTAATTCACTCTCCTTCATAAGTACTTCATGAATGACGTGGCGCTTTCCCATTAGTCAGATCCTCTCAACAGCAAATACCTACACACTCTTCAAACACACTCTATTCTCACCCCATCGTCTTTCTAAATCCCTTTTAAACTTCCTGGCTTAAAGGCACTTGCCTAACGCAAACAGACTACACCGAGCCTGAGCGAGCCTCGTCTTCCTTAAAATTTCACTGCTACGTTGCCCAACTCAAACAGAGAGACAGAGCTTCTAGATTTATATACAGATCTCAAGAGGATTTAATCACTCGATTCAGCCATGGCTCAGCCTCTCGTGAAGAAAGATGACGATCGTGACGACGAAGGTACCTGAAGCCTTTTCAATTTCGTTTCGTTTCATTTCTTCAATTCAATTTTGTTTGATTTACAAATCTCTGGCTATTAGTGCTAGATCAGCTGTAGGTTTTAGATCTGTGTAGATTCGCTCGTTTTAGGCGTATTTGTGGATCCAGTATTGAGATTGTACAGTGTCACTTCAATTGATTTGGATTTTTTTAAATTGATCTGATTAGGTAACGGTTTTGCAGTTGTAAATTGCAATGTGGATTGTTAATTAATTGTAATTACGGTTAATTTTACCTGATCTGAAGGAAAATGTCTGGTGATTTGGATCTGGTGGCTGTATAACTATTATTATTGTTTAACTTATTGTTGTCAAGAAATTGAATTGTGCTTATATGTGTAATTGCTGTTATTAACCAGCGGAGTACTCTCCATTTTTGGGAATTGAGAAGGGTGCGGTTCTGCAAGAAGCTAGAGTTTTCAATGACCCTCAGCTTGATCCTAGAAGATGCTCTCAGGTTTTGTAGTCACTCAATCTTATTTTTGTATTTGTATTTGCATGTGCATTTGCGTGCATTTGTTTAATAGCCATATTTTGTGTTGACACATTTATATTTTTCAGGTCATCACAAAGCTTCTCTATTTACTGAACCAAGGAGAAACATTCAATAAGGTAACTTCAATTCTATGGTTATATTATTCGAATTATTGGTTACAACAAGAATGATTCCATCCATGGCTATTTAGTACGTTATGATATGATATGATATGATATGATATGATGAATCCTTCTTGGATGGTTTGATTTTGCATTAGATGAGTAGTGAAACTGTTGTTTTATACTACAATGATCCACTTCTGAATGATGTCTGCTTGCTCTAAATTTGTAGATCGAAGCCACAGAAGTTTTCTTTTCTGTGACAAAGCTTTTTCAATCAAGAGATATAGGCTTGAGGAGAATGGTGTTTTTGATTATAAAGGAGCTATCTCCGTCCGCTGATGAGGTTATATGCCCTTGTTGAATTTTCTTTTTCATTTGTTATAATCTTGTTCTTGTCACTTGTGCAAATATGGATACTGATGATCAATTTATTTATTTATTTATTTATTTTAAAGGTTATTATTGTGACTAGCTCCCTTATGAAGGACATGAATAGCAAGACGGATATGTATCGGGCAAATGCTATACGTGTGCTTTGCCGCATAACAGATGGAACCCTTCTAACCCAGATTGAACGGTATTTGAAACAAGCAATTGTTGACAAGAACCCAGTAGTTGCTAGTGCAGCCTTAGTCAGTGGAATCCACTTACTCCAGGTACTGTCAAATTATTTGTAGTAGATGAAGATCGCGTTTGGATATTCTAGTTGAAAATCATGCTAATTTGCATGATAATCCAACTGTTGATATTTTACAGACAAATCCAGAGATTGTGAAAAGATGGAGTAATGAGGTTCAGGAAGCTGTGCAATCAAGGGCAGCCCTTGTACAGTTTCATGCTTTGGCTTTGCTGCATCAGGTATGCTGGATTCCTAGTTTCATTAGTGTCCTTCACTCACCACCTCCCTTTAGGATTTGAAATTTATTGTTAGATTAAACCCAATCTATCATTTCATCTTATCTAGTTTCCTTCAATAATTGATGCTTGAATATAATGAATATGTTAAATTGTGATTTTTTTTTTTTTTTTTTGTGCTTGTCCATACTAGACCATGTATTACTATTGGGTTTGGTTGATGATGTAAATATTGGTCTCCAATATCATTGTATATATTTTAACCAATGATTTTTTCCTCCAAACTCATTTTTTACCAGAGATGTTTCTTTTTTCTAATTTTTTTAAATAAGATTTTTGATCCATAATCTTTTCAGTTGCTTCAAATGACTTAATACCTGCTAGTGGTCCATTGAGTATCATTTTATGCAAATTTCAGTTTCTCAGACAATATTCAAGTGGCTAAGATGTTAGGATTATTGTTACTTTTACAATGATTCCATGCATGCCTATGCCATGTTATGTTTTAATCTTTTGAGTATATTTGATTGTTCCCTTTAGGCTTGCATGTAAGCTTTTGTTACTATACTGTTGACATTAAATTTGTGTTGAGATTGTTTGCAGAACTGAATTGGTTAATGAATGTCAAACTTGCAGATAAGACAGAATGATCGACTTGCTGTTAGCAAGTTGGTTACCAGTTTGACTAGGGGAACTGTTCGGTCTCCTCTGGCACAATGTCTCTTGATACGTTACACTACTCAGGTATATTTCTGCTGTTGGATCACATATAATTTGCAGTTGGTACTTATTTTTATTTTACCTATTTAATTTTTTTGCAATCATCATTATGAAGTAATTATTACAACTTTGCAGGTAATTCGTGAGTCTGCGACTAACACTCAAGCAGGAGACCGCCCTTTTTACGATTTTCTTGAGAGTTGTCTGCGCCATAAGGCAGAGATGGTGATTTTTGAGGCTGCCAGAGCAATCACTGAGCTCAATGGTGTGACAAGCCGAGAACTGACTCCAGCAATTACTGTGCTTCAGCTCTTTTTGAGTTCTTCCAAGCCTGTTTAGAGATTTGCTGCTGTTCGCACTTTGAACAAGGTTGACTGATTTCCTTTGTACTATTATAGATTGTATATATCCAACTACTGATAGTTAGAAATTATGGTGATTTAGTTTGTTTTTGATGAAAAGTTAATCTAGGAAAGAAGGTAGGATTGATCCTTTTTTTTCTTTTCTTTTTTTTTTTTCTGAAAAGTTTAGAAATATGGAATTCTTGTAAGTTAAATCATTACATTGACATATATGTGAAAGGAACTTCATTATTTTCTTTTGGATTTTCTCAATTTTGTAGCTCCTATTACCTTTGGTGGGGAAATGGTTTTCATTTTATGCTGACCATGAACTTGAACTTTTGCAGGTGGCAATGACACATCCAATGGCTGTCACTAACTGCAACATTGATATGGAGAGATTAATATCTGACCAGAACAGAAGTATTGCAACACTTGCTATTACCACACTTCTGAAGACTGGAAATGAATCAAGTGTGGACCGATTGATGAAGCAGATAACTAATTTCATGTCTGATATTGCTGATGAGTTTAAGATTGTTGTGGTGGAAGCCATAAGATCATTATGCTTAAAGTTCCCGCTGAAATACAGAGCTCTGTAAGTTAGTTACGTTGTGTTATTTCACAAATATCTAGTTATTGGTATATTCATCTTTCTTTTTGGATATTTTGTTTGTTTTCATAAATGTAATGTATCTATTGACATTCATAGATTGAGCTAAATTCTGTCTGCCATTTGTTATTTTAGGATGAACTTTTGAGCAACATTCTTAGGGAAGAAGGTGGATTTGAGTACAAAAAGGCAATTGTAGATTCAATTGTGATCCTGATCAGAGATATTCCCAAAGCAAAAGAAAGTGGGCTGCTTCACCTTTGCGAGTTCATTGAAGATTGTGAATTTACTTATCTTTCTACACAGGTGGCATTTTCCTCCAATTTTTCTGTATTTTCATTGAGCTATTCTCGATTGTCTTCTAACTGTTATTTCAATCACATTTTGGCAGATACTACATTTTCTAGGAATTGAAGGCCCCAAAACTTCAGATGCCAGCAAATATATTCGATACATTTATAATCGTGTACATCTTGAGAATGCAACTGTTCGTGCTGCTGCTGTTAGCACATTGGCTAAGTTTGGTGCTATGGTTGATTCATTGAAGGTATCTCTCGTTGTCTCTCTCAACTATGAGATCTAGGTGACATTGTTTTTTACTGACTTAAGTTGGAATTCTGTTACACTGTGTTGCAGCCTCGCATTTTTGTTCTGTTGAGACGCTGTCTCTATGACAGTGATGACGAGGTGAGTTTCTGTTTCTTGAATCAAGTTCTTAATTTTCTTGGTCTATCTCTTATGTGTGTATATTACTTTGGCAGGTAATGTTCTATATACTCTGCTAATATGTTTATAAAATTTTTATATAAAAAGAAATGTAATTTTTTTTTTTTTTTTTTTTTAAAACTCTCACAACTTTGCTGTCTTCTAAAAGTGTTTAATTGCTTTAAGAGGCTCTATATTCTGCCATGTTTGCAGGTTCGTGATAGGGCAACACTTTACTTGAATACGCTTGGGGGTGATGGTGCAGTTGTTGAAACTGATAAAGATGTGAAGGAATTCCTTTTTGGGTCATTGGACATCCCTCTTAACAACCTTGAGACAAGTTTGAAAAACTATGTAAGTTTTCTTTAGTTCCTATATGCAATTTGTGCTGTTCATTAATGTCAACATCTCATATGTTTATCATGAATGTAGGAGCCATCGGAAGAACCTTTTGATCTTGATGCTGTGCCCAAGGAAGTTAAGTCACAGCCACTTGCCGAAAAGAAAGCCCCGGGTAAAAAGCCAACTGGTCTTGGTGCTCCTCCAAGTGGCCCTACATCAACTGTTGATGCTTATGAGAAACTGCTTTCTTCAATTCCCGAGTTCTCTGAATTTGGAAAGCTTTTCAAGGTTCTGTGGCCAGATTTTCCTTTTCACTTCATGCATTATCTTACTGTTTATTTTGATATACTTCTATTGGGAAAGTATTAATGTGTTGTTCTTTATATATGTGAACCAGTCCTCAGCCCCTGTTGAGCTAACTGAAGCAGAAACAGAATATGCAGTTAATGTTGTCAAGCACATTTTTGATAGGCATGTTGTGTTTCAGTACAACTGCACTAATACAATTCCAGAACAATTACTGGAAAATGTAAGGACCAATCTTTAGAAAACAGTGGTTTCTTTCTGTCTTGGAATTGTCTTCACAATATAATTCTTTGTCTACTACAGGTCTCTGTAATTGTGGATGCTTCTGAAGCTGAGGAGTTTTCTGAAGTAGCAACAAAACCCTTAAGATCTCTACCTTATGATTCACCTGGACAAACTTTTGTTGCATTTGAGAAGCCAGAGGGAGTCCCAGCAGTTGGAAAATTTTCTAACATGCTTAGATTTATTGTTAAAGAGGTGAAAGTTCTGTCCTTATCACTGAAGATGTGTTGCTTATACTCTCACAGCTTTTTTTTTTTTCATGGAGTAGCTTCTCTAGAGTTAATCAGAACATTGTTATCTACAAGTGTTATCCTTTTCATTTGGGCTCATTGATTGCATGTCAAAAATGAAATTTGGTTCTAGGTATTATACCAATTAGTGACTTTTGCTTTCTTTGAAGAATCTCATATTCAGTCTTGCATGCTAGATTGTACTAGCACCATGAATGTAGTGTTACCATTATGGTCTCCAAGGTAAAATCACGTGCAACTTCAAAACAGTGTTCGAAAAGAGTCATACTACTGCTAGGTATAAACTATCAAGCAAACAAAATATTTTAGAAGCTTTCATTTATTAATTGTTTAGGTGATGTTACCAGGTTGATCCGAGCACTGGTGAGGCATTGGATGATGGTATGGAAGATGATTACCAGTTGGAGGACCTTGAGGTTGTTGCAGCTGATTACATGATGAAAGTGCCCGTCGCCAATTTCAGGAATGCATGGGAAAGCATTGGTCCAGATTTTGAGCGTGTCGATGAATATGGCCTTGGCCCAAGGGAAAGCCTGACTGAAGCTGTTAGTGCTGTCATCAGCCTTCTCGGCATGCAGCCCTGTGAGGTCAGTTTATTCTTACAAATATCTACTTGCCAGGATATTAGCTAAGGAAATCACTTTGAAGCTCATTTTATTAGAGTTCGGCCCAAAAAAAAGTGAAACCTTAGTTTTTTTTTTTTTTTGATAAAAGAGATTGGGGTGATAGATATTTGCTCACTTCTTTATATCGTGTTGCCATCACATAAAATGCAAGAATCCATTTCCATTTAATAATGAATTTTACATATCTATCATCTGTTGCTGTGATTTCCATGAAGCTGATATCATGCTACTTTCCTTTTTCTTTGTCGGTGTTCTCCAGGGCACGGAGGTTGTACCAAACAACTCAAGGTCACACACGTGTCTATTATCCGGTGTTTTCATTGGCAACGTAAAGGTGCTCGTGCGGTTGCAATTTGGAGTTGATGGTCCAAAGGACATTGCAATGAAACTAGCAGTTAGATCCGAGGATGAAAACGTCAGTGATATGATTCACGAGATTGTAGCCAGCGGCTAAAATTGATCTAGTATTTGAGCCCTAAGTTTTTCTTCCTTGGAGATGAAATGAGAGGCAGATGGCTGCAAAAAGACCAAAGCTTGTTTAAGATGAATTGCTCGTCCTGGACTGGGATTTGGTCGTGCTAGAGGGAATATCATTTGCGTCAGTTATCTGTTTACAGGATAATAATATTCTTTGTATCATGAGCCAAATTCATAGGAGTTCTTTTTTTTTTTTTTTGGCCCCTCTTTTTTAGAGCTCTAAAGCGGGATTAAATATAGATGCCATCAAGCCTGCTTCATTTTACTCCTGCTCATATACGCAATATGATTTTTGAGGCCTTGCAGTGTTATTAAGCAGTGTGAATTTTGAAATGCTTTCTGGTTCTGGTATAAAATTTGAACTTACATTTGAACAATTCGACAGTGCAAGTCAGTGATAAATCATTCAACATTGGCATGACTCTCTCATTAATCTACTTAAATTGTGACATGAAGAAGATGAGTAATAGTCATACACTGCACTGTTATTTTTTATTTAGGTATATGAGGCATTCATACCCACATTAGAGTCCGTCTAATTTTCAGGGTTACGGAATATTCTATAAACTCAATAGACTAAGGTGATTGCACAAATATGACAAGTAGTTTTCCACGGAATGCTCTATAAGCTCAATGGGTAAGGTGATTGCACAAATATGACAAGTAGTTCTCCAGTGACACAAATGCAAGACCCTCTTTGTATATAGTTAATCTCAATAGTGTTTTAAAACCTGGCTTGGCTCGGTTGGTTCAACCAGGACTCGGGGCCTTCACCAGGTCGAGTTACAAATTTTCTTATTCATTGAAAACCCTAAAGTTAAGACATCAATCCGTGAACAATTGAAAGTTAGAATGTTAGGGCTTTTGAAGAGAAATAATCGATGAGTGCAATGATGGCGATGATAGTAATTCTCGACAAGTGAATTGATCGAAAATCACAAAACTATGTTGTCAAAAAATGCCCACTGTTATTGACAACTAGGGAGACGAACGAGGAAAATGTGAGATAAGTTTTAGTCAAGAGACTAAGGGAAGTGTTTTCGTGGTGATGAAAAGTGTTGTCGTTGCCAAAAATAATCCCCTATTTGCCCATGCCAACGGTGGTGTTTAAGGTGTTTTTGCAATATTTCAAACCTTTGTACACTAGTTTCATTCGCTGATCAAACCAATTCAACTGGTCAACCCGAGACCCGACCACTTTGCAAGGTTTCACCCCGAGTTGTGTTTTAAAACAATGTCAATGGTTAAAGGGTTCATCATCCGATCACAAGGGGAAAGATCACTACCCCCTTATTTTGTAGTATTATTTGTATTAGATCTATTTTACAAGAAGCTTAAATATGAAAGAAGGAAAATAATACAGCCACCAACGATAGTACACCGAATTTATGCACCAAATGACGTAGCAAAATCCTGACCGTTTATTAATTTTAACTTAATATTAATCAACGATCAGGATTTTGCCACATCATTCAGTGCATAAATTCGGTACACTACTTCAGTGACTGTAGCATTACTCATGAAAGAAAGAAATTGCCAAATAGAACTCTAAAATCGAAAGCAGCCATTAGTAGTAAGCAGTACAACTGAAGAATATTTAACCATGCAGATAAAACCAGGGAATAGTGGCTTCTGCTCATCAAAGTTTTCAAGCAATAATTCCTTCTTTTTCTTTTTCTTTTACTCACCTAATTAAAATGCCAGTTCTTCACAGGAGGATTACAAGAAAGCAAAGGGTACATCTTTGATCATGATAAGCAATAGTGCAGATTACAATTACTCAAACCACATTAACTATCTAAAAGTACAAATGAATCTATCCAGGAAGTAAGATGCAGTAAATTGCACTGAGAACCAGAACCTAAGTCGACAGAAAACTCACAAGCCTTGAACTCCTCAAGGGAGTACTCTCCTATGCCCACCAAAAGCCCAAATCTGAGATAAAAACAAGAAAAATAAGAATCAAATTCAAGATTCAGCAAACACAGTAAACTTCTAACTATCACATACAGGAAATGCACGGCGAAAGTGGGTATATAACCAGAAGTAACAGAAAAATTGAAAACCATAGAGAATATGAGTTGAGTACAGTAGCACACCAAAAGTTGACAGCTATGACATTATGATATAGCACACACTTAATTCAACTTGAATGCTGAACATTAGACGCTCATGAAAGTGAAACCTGTGCCCAGACCAATCCTTTCCACACAAGATTTCATTAACATTTCAATAACAATTACGCTTGCAGGGCCATTTTGCACACCATATGACATAGCATGTTTATGATTGCATAAAAAATTTGGTAACATATGCTCTTGTAACTGATTATCAATACACCATTAAGTTGTATTCTTCTATTGAAAATTTCGTCTTCTTGAATATGAAAATCTATTTTAAATGGAAATGTTCCACCATTTAAGACAAATAGATGTCGAACACACGTAAAATGAATGCTCTTCAATTTGAATAATTCCCATATGCAGACAATGAATGTCGAACCACACGTAGAATGAATGCTCTTCAATTTGTATAATTCCCATATGCAGACAATGAACATCATGGTACAAATAAAATACTATTTTACGGAGGGTCAATTTTATAACTCATCATTATTTCCTTATCTGCAAAAATCTCTATAAATCAGTTCATTTTTCTTTCTTCACTGGCATCAATTTATCTGAAATTAAACCAAAAAAGATTCTGAAAGTGGTACTGCCTCTCATAATCACATGGCATTAAAATGAGACAACAGGGGCAAGTTTAAATGCAGACTGACCTTTAGGTTTGTATCCCAACTTCCTGTACACAAGGCACTTCCATCAGCTGACAAACCCAAACAGCTGATCCTGCCCTCGTGTGAGTTCTGGAGAGTTCCCAAGTTCAAAACAACCTGTCAAGAAACAAGCAAGTCATCAAGGCCAATAAATTCTCTATAACGCCCCACCTAAACTTTTCCAATTCTTATACGCACACATGCTGACACTAACAGGAAAACAGCAGACAGTTATTGAAATTGGGTTCACAAGATCAAGTTAACACTCAAACAAGAACACCTATCCACATATAAAGCATTCACTAAATATATCCCTTTTCCATTGGAAAAAGGCTATATTAGCTGGCTCTAAACCCTAATATAATGCATTTGTGGGTGCAACACAATGGCCTTCACTCAAGGTGGGGGAACTAGCCACCTCTACATAATCTCATTCTCAAAGTACTTTTTAAACATCTACTCTTAAAAAACATGCCATACATCAATGAAAATGTACAGCCAAGCGATTTAGACAGCAGCAACAAATCCAAACCCACAAATAAAGAGAAATGAAACTACAAAGCTTTATTTTAGATATCAACTGATAGCACAAAAGATTCTGAACAAACAGAACAAAATGATTTACATACCTCTGCTAATAAAGTGTCCCATACATAGCAATCACCATTTGAATATCCAGCAAAAAGAAGTCTTCCAGATATAGAGAAAGAAATGGAGATCACATGTGGGACCTCATTATCAGTATGCTGCTGGTGATAGACTTGGAGTTGGTGACCAGTCCTGACATCAAATAACCTGCAAGTTCCATCATCTGAACCAGTTGCAAATCTATGACCATCTGGAAAGAACTTCACAGTGTTAACATCTCCTTCATGCCCATGAAACGTACGCACTGCTCGACTTGCAACTCGGGTATCCCATAATCGGGCAGTAGCATCACAGGAACCAGATACAAACAATCTTGAGTTTGTGCGATTAATTGAAACACTGAAAGAATTGGAGGAAAAGGAAAGGGATAAATGGTAAAGTAGAATTGAAATATAATATCTCTAAACTTATACATCAATTACTGTTCCATCTATATCACACAAATTGCTGTCATAATTGAAATGTCTACAAAAACATAAACAAGAGATTCAAAGCAGTTTAATAAACAATGAAGCAAATTTCCAATACAATTAAAAGGTGCTTAGCCATAGGTTGCCATTGTAAGATTTGAATAAAAAGTATAAAACAATAAAATTCCATATATAGCATAAATGAGCTTAAACTGCTGGGAGCCAGAAGCTCCCTCAACAATTTGATTGTTGCAGTTACATTAGTATAGAAGCATTACTTTAATGAAAAACTGTTGAATTCCTACAGACCCATGAATTATGATATTGAAGTACACAAAATTCCCGTCTATGCTGACCTAACGAAACCCAATATCAAGTGACTCCTAATATCATTCACAAAATCAACAAGATATTCAATTGCTAGATAAGATGTCTTGACTTTGTAGAGCTACTAGACAAAGGAATTAAGGAAAAAATGTTTCCTTCAACAGAGCACATTGTCAACAATATTAAACCTGCTAAATGAGAATCAAATAAAATACCTTAGTACATCAGCAGTGTGTCCAGACTGAAATTCTCCTCCAAAAACAGAAGTTCTTAAGCCTGTAGTAATATCCCACAAAACACATGTTTGATCACCAGAACTAGTAATTAGGTGAGTGTCCTCATCTGGAACATACTGACAGCAAGACACATAACCCCTATGCCCACTAAGGATTCGTGATACTGGCAAATGCCCGTCCTTGTCAGTCGGTGAATTCAGATTGAAAATGGAGCAACTGCTATCAAGACCACCACAGGCAACAGATTGACCAGTTGGAGAGAAGGCACACGTCATTACCCACGCACAAGGGAGTTTTATGGCATGAGTTTTCTGACTAGTAAGAGCATTCCACACTATTAATCGTCCATCTTGAGATGCACTGACAATACGATTCCTATCAGGAGTCCAATCCAGTGAATATACCTGCAAATTCCATAAAGGAAAATTTTATTTGAACTCACCATAAAGTAGGATAAAATAAGTAATTCAAAACTGTCATAGACTTTAGCAACTTTCTTATCCTACAGCCTCAAAGTTTAATTTCTTACATATCATTGCTTTCTTTCTGCACATCAAAAAATTCATGCCATACACTCCGCTGAGATATATAAAATTTTTCCATTTGCTTAACTGTTAGGACTCTTTAACATTCTATTTTAGCCACCAGCCATGAGAAACTAAAGGTAATTTTTTTCCTTTTATATTCAGTCTACACTCAACACTCCATCGTCTATTAGCACTAAGCTACCCATAAATCATAACTTATGGTTCTTCGTAACTAAGCAAAGGTTTCAGCACTAAGCACAACACTCAAAAAACACGATCTAAAACAAAAATCCATTAAAATTCAGCAATCTTTGCTATTCTTAACCCACTTTAAACCATTAAAACATCCTCACTCCATTCCATAATTTCCAAACCAATCAGATAAAAACTCACAAACACAATCTAAATAAAAAACATAAAAAACAAAATTGCATGTATTCTAGTCTAAAAACATGAGTATTTCACTCTCATAAATAAAAATCACCTTTCCAGTGTGACCCTGCAAGGTCCTACAACAAACCAGATCCGTAGGACCAAAGCTGACCGGAGTTTCACCACGCGCCATCGCAAACCCAGCCACTGTAATAAAAATTCAATTCAGATCTAAATACAAGCAAAAACAAAAACAAAACAAAATAAAAACAAAAAAAACAAAATCTTACCGTCTGTATCGAGCAACTGCTGGCGCTTCTGCTTCAACTGTTCTTTGAGATTGTTGGTCAATTCAACGGCCGCAGCATGGCGCTCTTTCAACTCCGAAACCGACATGTCGTCGTTGCCAATCCTTCGATCAAATTGATGAGCTTAACATGTCTGATTTGAGCCCTAGAGTACCATTTCAAGTTCACTATACTGTAAAAATGAAATGTTTAATAAAAAAAATTTCTATATTAAAGTTAATTTATTGAAATCATAGTCAGATTTTTTAAGGATATCTTCAATTAAAGACAGAACAAAGTTAAAGCTAAGTGTTGAGTTGATGTGTTTAAGGTAATGTGAAGTTTAGAATTGATGGATTGGTGTAATAATAAGAAGGAGTGGGAGAGGGAGAGAGAAAGAGAGGTCAAGTTAGAGATGGTTGTTGCAGAGAGAAAGTGAGGTAAGGGTAAAGGTAAGGGTAAGGTAAAGTGGTAAGAGTCTTTAGACTTTATTATTTGGCTGTCGCCGCCGGCCCCATCTTTTTCTTACGTGTCATACCTTGTGGCTGCTGCTCCTCCTCCTCCACAATTTTTATGTTGCTGGGCAGGTATTGTTACCGGTACTCCTCCTTCTCCGTAATTAAATATATTATATATTGAATTAGATCAACGATCAAAGTTCAAACAACTAACCCTACAAAAAAATAAAATAAATAAAAATAAATGGTGGGAAAGTTAGTTCATCATTGAATTTGTGGATTTGTTTATGAATATGGAAAGGGTTGACGTAAAGCCTGTGAGACTGTGGAGATGGGGTTGACATGACAGGGTCAGGGAAGAAGAGAAAGGAAGAACAGGTCAGAGTGGACGGGGTTTGGTATCTGATTTCTACCCTAAAGCATACACAGATTGGATTATAAAATTGAGTATTATAATTGAACGAATTTCAAATCTTACCCACTTCAACTAACCAAAATCTGGAGTTGGAGGTTTGATTGGATGCTGGAAAAATATATTGGGAGTTTGACAAGCATCAAAATGAGCAATAAACTAATGGGGAAAGGAGGTTCAGGGAGTAGGAATACGCCATTGCCGCCAAATGAAATTGTAAACTTTGCAGCAGTGGGTTGAGAATATATGCTTGAAGAACCCCAACCCCGCTGCAAATTATTCAGTGAAAAGGGGAAGACAGCTGTATGATCAGAGATAGAACACAAAATTTAAAAATTATATAAAAATTCTACTTTAGAAAAGACAGTTAAATAATCAGAGATAGAGCACCAGATTATATATAATTTTATTTTAGGGAAGACGGTTAAATAATCGAGATGGATATGTGAAAAAATTACATTTTCTTCTAACTAAGGTATTAGGGTTAATTTACGCTTACCCGACTAATGGTCGAAGAGAAAATTATATTGTTTGTTACAATTAAAGATAGAGCACAAAACTATAATCTAAATCAAAAGAAGATTGGTTTTACGAGCCCAATTGAATGCGAATGAAGCTAATTATAAGCCTCACTCTTATAATGTAACAAACAATCTTAATTTCTATCTCGTGTTTTTATATGTATAAAACAAAAGAAGATTGGTTTCAGAAGCCCAATTAAATGCTGATTACCAGCCTCACTCTTCTGATGTAACAAACAATGTTAATTTCTATCTCGTATTTTAATATGTATAAAACAAAAGAAGATTGGTTCCACAAGCCCAATTAAATGCAAATAGAGTTGATTACCAGTCCAACTCCTAACTCCTCTAATGTAACAAACAATGTTAACTTCTATCTCGTGTTTTGATATATTTAAAACAAAAGAAGAGCGATTCCACAAGCTCAATTAAATGCGAATGGAGCTGATTACGAACTCCGCTCTCCTAATGTAACAAACAATGTTAATATCTATCTCGTGTTTTGATATGTATAAAACAAAAGAAGATTGGTCTCACAAGCTTAATTGAATGCGAATGGAGCTAATCACAAGCCCCACTCCTCTAATTATAACAAACAATATTAATTTCTATCTCGTGTTTGGGTATTTATAAAAAAGACATGTTAAATCTTTGATATTTTTATGAGTACACATTTTATATATTTATTTATTTAGAATTACCCATTCTACACCCTTAAACTTATAGTTTTATTTTTTTATTTTTTTATTTTGAGTACACTTTATAAATTTTTTATTTATTTTAAGTATAAATAAAAGTTTGATTTATTTATTTTTAGAACATTTGATAAATTTAAAATTTTGATTTATTGGTATTTATTAATCTTGAATACATTTTATAAAAACTTTTTTACTTTTTTAGTACATTTTTATAAAAATTTCTTTTTCGATTAAATGAAAATTATGTTAAATATTAAAAAAGAAAACAAAAATTCCGTTGCCGGGAATCGAACCCGGGTCTCCTGGGTGAAAGCCAGATATCCTAACCGCTGGACGACAACGGATTGTTGCTGAAGTTTACAATACATAATGACTTTAACCGCAACAACTTATGTGAAATTACAACAAAGTCGGTCACTAGCAAATCAATTCCAAGTTTCTTCTATCAAAATGTTCCTACTTGAAAGAATTTGACAGAATAGGGCACCAAACAGTAAGCTCAATGCAGCAACAAGGTGGTGACTTCATAAGGGTAAAGAAATAAACTACTAATACAAGGCCAACAACAATGGAGAAAAAACATATTGAAGTGGAGATGGGAAAGAGTTAAAGCTTCTAAGGAAAGTTAAAACTTTTAAGGAAAGTAATAATTGTACGTCACAACTCAATCTCACAACCTTCTCTTTCTCTTACAACCCCAACTCAACGTCAGCTCACACCACACCCCAAACTTTAACGTCGTTTCTTAGAGATAAATAGCCGTTTCTTAGGGTCGAATGACCACTCCTTTATAAAGGAACAGATGTTCCTTATGAAAAAAATAGTTAAGAAACAGTCATTCCTTTCATAAAGAATGGGCATTTCACGTAACAGTGTCAACCCAATTGACACGTAGAGGTTGTAAGAGAAGTATGTGAGATTGGATTTGTGGGCGTAACATTATTCCAACGAAAGATATATTAGAGAGAGATATTGACAAGGAATGGAAAAGATTAAAGGAAAATTTCTTGTAATAAGGCTCATGAACAAGAAGAAATAATGGGTTGATTTGATGGCAATGTCTTTGAGGACCTCAACACCCTTCCAAACTTTAACTATTTGGAAGAGGACCAAGATCACTCCCAAAGCATCCTCAACTATTTACACGTGTGAAAGACAGTTCTACACATGTGAACATGTCAGATGAAATATAGAAAAGAGAAATATATCCGTTGGAAGTTCCACTATGCAGAAGATCTGCTGTAGAGAGCATATAATTAAAATGCCTACAAAGATCAAGATTCTTATAAAATCACATGAATTTAATTGAAGATTATTAAAACATGGAACTAAAAATATACAACAAAAGGATTTATTCCCATCACCAAAGTTTCTCTCCACATAACTACACTTTATCCCCCACAAATTCCCACATCAACTTTCTGCAATCTACCCTTAAATAAAACAGAGACTGAGAGTTACACTAACACATACTTATATCAAAGCAAGAAGGCTTTACAATTAAACCTATAAATACCAACCACAAGATACACCACAACCCTTTATTTTACTTTGCAAGTTGTTTATTATATTATATCAAACCAGGGAAATTCTTCATCTGGAACTTTCAGGTACTCCCACCAGGATAGGTGCAACCACTGTAACCTGCAATAAAAAAAGCATTGATTTAAAAGACAATCAAGACAGATTATAGAAGGGTTCCTGTCAAAAGGCAATAATATAAAAAGCTAAAGGTTATGGCAGTTTAAGTCTATGGCTGTGGGGACAATAAACTTATGAAGAGAAGATGACTCCAATAATCAAAAGATGGTAGGCTTTTTTAGAGCTAATCATACACAGTGGGGGTGGGGACGATAATCCTGTAGAGACTGAGAGAGTATTAAATTTTTTCTGTAAAGTTTCTATTTTTTTCACTCATTTCACATACCCTCTTGTCCCCACTATTTAAGATGACTCTTTCTTGTTCCCACTTCTAGAATAATAATTGCTCATTCATGCTCTATTGGCTATATATGAACAATTGTATGGCTAACTTTCAGTATTTAACAACTATAACAAAAGCTGAAGATGTAACTTAAGGTTGAAAAAAACTTACTAGGATTTTGGGATGTGAGTGTAGCCGTTTGTGAGAAATCACAGTTCCATGGCTTTTTCTCAGATTTCTGGTAGTAAAGATTCATGGCATAAGCAGCATGCGATGCTACAGTGTTTGGTTCGAAACAAACACCTCCTGGTTGAATAGCACTACAATCAATGCCATGGCCACAGGCATAGTCTAGACTCGCCTGCAACTGAGCATCAGGGACACCAGCCTTGGGCATACACCAACCTGTTGATGTTGGTTTTGGTTTTGGTGATGGAGTCACTGGAGTTTTTGGAGTTGCTGGAGTGGATGGAGTCTAATGACAAGAGAAAATATATTAGCAACCACTTGCAAGAAATCAAACAAAGAAAGCAAGTATAATGTAAAATTTCCAATTTTTCTTTTAGCAAATTTGATTAGCTACGACTCCATCATTTTTTTTTTTGTTACCGGGGGTGTCCGGGTCAGCTTACGCGCACCTCGACTAGTCCCCCAACCCTGAACAAGGCTTCCGAAACAGGGCAAACCCTGCAGTCTGTGGTCAACAATATTAGCATCCATTCTTATGATTTGAACCTGAGACTACAGGGGGAGCAAACCCTTTGGCCCCAAGCCTTTACCACATGGCCAACCCATTGTTGGTTGCTACAACTCCATCATTTCTTTCCAGGTTCAAAATAGACAAATAAAAAGTAAAAAAAAAAAAAAACTTCTGCTTTACATTGCCACCCCTGTAAAGTAGCTTCAGACTAAATTATGTCATGCTGCACTGGTTATGAGGATTTTGGAATTTTCCTTCAATAATTGAATGGAAACTCAAACTCTTTTCATTTCACCACACTTTTCCTAACTAAAACATTTCATACTAGTCTCAGCCAGAGAACAAAAAAAAAAAAAAAAAAAAAAGTTACCTGGCTACTCTTGGAAAGACCAGCATCATATGTTACTGTAAGATCTGGTTTGAAGAGGCCGAATGCACGTTCAGAGGAAGGGCCAGGTTTCAAGTCCTCATCATAAAGAGCAAAGATATAAGTATCCACAGATTTTCCAGGCATCAATGGAGTCCCAACCATTGATCTAAGGTGAGAAATCAAGTTCCCATTATAAGCCTTAGCATTCTCAACACTCGGTCCAGCCTCATTGGGGTCTCCGCGGTAAGGCCATCCTGTTTCAGCAACCACAATCTCAACATCCTTGAACCCCATTGCATTCAAAGCAGAGTGTACAGCATCAACCTGCATATATAAATTAGAAATAAAATTCAGTCAATTCACCAAAACTTTGCATCGTGAAAAAGGATGGTCATATTTGGTGGTCCCTGGTTCAACATTCACAATCAATTAGCCAAACTTTTTTCTTTTTCCACAATATAATTCGGATATGTCCAATAACAATGGACTTATCTGTGATTATTTGAATGGCCAACCTGTCAACAACCACAATCAGTCACATCAATCTACTTCACTCCTCCAGTGCCCCCAATAATTTCATGGAAAAAAGGCAAGTAATATTTAACAACTGAAGCAAGAAACTACAATGAAATTCCCGTTGAAGTATGAAAGCATATGGAAATTAAATAAGACATATGCGTCAACGGTGGACTGGGTCAATGAATGTCTTTGACTCACCGTCCATCGCACGTAATATTTAACGTCTTTCCCAAGTTTGTCTTTACTCTTTACGATGTACAGGAGCGTATGTATAATTTTTCTGAATATATTTTCATCCGTGAAAGTATGTTTTGAACTCACCTGAGCATCAAACATGTTCATGTACTTGATCCCGGTGCCAGCGTCAACCCGACCGGCGTTGGGTTGGAACAGGCAGAACGCAAGAGTTTCGGGTCTGGGGTCGCTCTGGTACGCAAAGAAGGGATATGGGTTGATGGTAAAAGGGGATCCATTGTCCTTTAGAAACTGCAACAATCCCTTCATCGGGCCTTGGAGACTCGGGTTGAACAACCCGGAAGATGGCGGGTCGGACTGAGTCAACACGGACATTGCATGCACAGTAGAGACCTTAATTTTGCCGCCGAGTGAGGCCGAGTTGAGGGCGTTTTGGACGTTTTGCATCGCTGGGAGGAGCTGGTTGATGAGGTTTTGGTCATTGGAGATCATTACCTGACAGAGATTATCACAGAGATTCACATTAAATTAAGTTCACCAGAAAATAAACAAAAATATTTGTCGCCATTTTTGGTTTTCAAAAATCATTTTCGTTTCCGGAAAAATATTTTGGAATCTCGAGAATACGTCATAAACCGATCATGAGCATAAAACTTTCACTTTCTTTAAGCTAGTTATTGCTTTAACACATTCCATCACGATCAAAAGATTCGCAATTTTGTAATGGGATTATTTCCATTCTCTCTAAAAGTTATCTTATCTTGCACTTCTCTGTTTTCTCTTTGCCAAGAATTCATAAAAGTACAAGAACCAAAAAGGTTTTTGCCAGAGTCCTGACCTCATTTCCGACGTTGATTAGAACGATTTTGCTAGCGGGGTAGAAAGGCAATACATTTGTTCTGACCCACTGAGCAGCGGCGTTAGGATCAGAAGCCAAAGCTGGAATATCTCCATTAGAAGCACCGATAACGATACCGATTCCGGTATTAGCCAGTGCTTTAATAATAGCTGGATCTGCTCCGTAAAGCCTCACTTTCTGTATGGACGTAGATTGTAGAAGCTTCGCCGTAGCTTCCGGTGCCGGCAGATTATCAGCCACTTGCCCATAATTCACTCCAATAAACGACTGGGAACCTACACAAAAACAACAATTAAAACAAATCAGAACACAAAAATCAAAGACTCCGAGCTGAAAGCACAGAGTAATTAAGCTTACTCGAAAAGCGAAGAGCTTGGAGAAGAAGAAGAGAGAAGAAGAAGAAAGTGAAAGCGGCCATGGGAGATGTAAGTGAAAGTTCTGTAGGAGACAAGAGAAGTTGATAAGGAAGTGAAGCGATTAAATATTGAGTGTGAAAGTGTGAACACAGAGAGAGAGAGAGAGAGAGAGAGAGACTGTAACGGTAAAGAGTTCTCCGCAGTGGCAGTTTCTTACGAAATTCAACTTCAACTACCTTATATGAGTAATGACTTTTGAGCTGGATGGATTAAAAAATGGGACCCTATAGTCTTTTCACATTTCCACAACGTGGTGGAAAATTATGAAAGCAAAAGGGTAAAATGGGNGCGGCCATGGGAGATGTAAGTGAAAGTTCTGTAGGAGACAAGAGAAGTTGATAAGGAAGTGAAGCGATTAAATATTGAGTGTGAAAGTGTGAACACAGAGAGAGAGAGACTGTAACGGTAAAGAGTTCTCCGCAGTGGCAGTTTCTTACAAAATTCAACTTCAACTACCTTATATGAGTAATGACTTTTGAGCTGGATGGATTAAAAAATGGGACCCTATAGTCTTTTCACATTTCCACAACGTGGTGGAAAATTATGAAAGCAAAAGGGTAAAATAGGAATAGACTCAAATTGCAAAATCGTGGCATTCAAGCTAACATAGATTTTGGATTATGACCTCTAGGGTGGAGAAGTGTTATTTTGAAACTTGATGGGTGGTAAAGTGTCGTTTTGCCAAAGCTTAGGTGGGAATATGTTGTTCTCCCTTTTTTTTCTTTGTTTTTGTTGACCCTGTGTCGGGTCAATTTGGAGGTATCTCACGTCGTCAATTAATCTCTCATACTACAAAGTTGGTAGTCAGTAACTGTTCTTATTAACTCAAGAGTCTTAGTTGATTAAGGATGGTCATTTCTCCCACGTGGCTGTGTATCATTGGGACAGAAGTCGCGAGCTGGTATAATAACCTAAGCCACTAAGCAGCTTCAGAGAATTTAATGGCATCACCAACCCCGTGTGGAAACAAGAATAATTGGTTGCACCAATTCAAAAAGTGAGCTCCAAATTGGGTTCAGTCTCACCTGAATCGTTCAATAGCATTAATTTTTTTATTATTCATTTTTCTATAATTCGATGTCGTTTTGGAAAATCAAGCTCGAAACTGAAGACCCAGTTTATAGATAATAAGATAAGGTATATCTCTTTTTTATTTTTTATTGAACTCCCTCCAAGACCATAAGGTCGTTTCTTTTTATTTTTTTGTTAGTCCGTCAATAAATCATTTTTTATTTTACCGTCATTGAATACCTTATAAAACCAATGAACCGATACTCTTCTTTTGTTAGCCAACAAATTCAACGAACCAAAATGATCCTATTTTGATTTAATCCAAAGTTTGGTGCATGGCAAAAGGGTGAAAGGACAAGCAGTAGGGCAAAAGGGTGACAATAATGTTTGTGCCCCACGTCCAACTGTCCATGTGATCACCACTTTTCCCTAAGGCAAAAACATGTTTTCCAACAGTACGAAACCTTATCGTCACCAAACTTTTTACTTACACGCAGCGCCAAGCAAAAACTATCAATAGAATAAGCTACTTTCTCAGGCAGAAAATCTCTTTTCCAAGAGCCCAAAAGAGAATAAAGGTTAAAAAGATTACGATGGCAATAGGTAAGGTATCTTCACCTTGAAGCCTAAAGAGCTCAACATCCTTGAACCCCATTGCATTCAAAGCAGAGTGTACAGCATCAACCTGCATATATAAATTAGAAAAAATTCAGTCACTTCACCAAAACTTGCATCGTGAAAAAGGATGGTCATATTGGTGGTCCCTGGCTCAACATTCACAACAATTAGCCAAACTTTTTTCTTTTTCCAAATATAATTCGGATATGTCCAATAACAATGGACTTATCTGTGATTATTTGAATGGCCAACCTGTCAACAACCACAATCGTCACATCAATCTACTTCACTCCTCCAGTGGCCCCAATATTTCATGGAAAAAAGGCAAGTAATATTTACAACTGAAAGCAAGAAACTACAATGAAATTCCCGTTGAAGTATGAAAGCATATGGAAATTAAATAAACATATGCGTCAACGGTGGACTGGGTCAATGAATGTCTTTGACTCACCGTCCATCGCACGATATTTAACGTCTTTCCCAAGTTTGTCTTTACTCTTTACGATGTACAGGAGCGTATAGTATAATTTTTCTGAATATATTTTCATCCGTGAAAGTATGTTTGAACTCACCTGAGCATCAAACATGTCATGTACTTGATCCCGGTGCCAGCGTCAACCCGACCGCGTTGGGTTGGAACAGGCAGAACGCAAGAGTTTCGGGTCTGGGTCGCTCTGGTACGCAAAGAAGGGATATGGGTTGATGGTAAAAGGGGATCCATTGTCCTTTAGAACTGCAACAATCCCTTCATCGGGCCTTGGAGACTCGGGTTGAACAACCCGGAAGATGGCGGGTCGGACTGAGTCAACACGGACATTGCATGCACAGTAGAGCCTAATTTTGCCGCCGAGTGAGGCCCCATCATTTTTTTTTTTTTTTTTTTGGTTACCGGGGATGTCCGGGCCAGCTTACGCGCATCTCGACTAGTCTCCTAACCCTGAACAAGGCTTCCGAAACAGGGCAAACCCTGCAGTCTGTGGTCAACAATATTAGCAACCATTCTTATGATTTGAACCTGAGACTACAGGGGGAGCAAACCCCTTGGCCCCAAGTCTTTACCACTTGGCCATTGTTGGTTGCTACAACTCCATCATTTCTTTCCAGGTTTCAAAATAGACAAATAAAAATTGAAAAAAAAAAACCTTCTGCTTTACATTGCCACCCCTCTAAAGTAGCTTCAGACTAAATTATGTCATGCTGCACTGGTTATGAGGATTTTGGAATTTTCCTTCAATAATTGACTGGAAACTCTTTTCATTTCACCACACTTTTCCTAACTAAAACATTTCATACTAGTCTCAGCCAGAGAAAAAAAAAAAAAAAAAAAAAAAAAAGTTACCTGGCTACTCTTGGAAAGACCAGCATCATATGTTACTGTAAGATCTGGTTTGAAGAGGCCGAATGCACGTTCAGAGGAAGGGCCAGGTTTCAAGTCCTCATCATAAAGAGCAAAGATATAAGTATCCACAGATTTTCCAGGCATCAATGGAGTCCCAACCATTGATCTAAGGTGAGAAATCAAGTTCCCATTATAAGCCTTAGCATTCTCAACACTCGGTCCAGCCTCATTGGNTAAATCAGCATATGACAATTTTATTAAAGGTCACAATAGCAACTCAATCGATATGTTTTGAAGAAAACAGCCAATCTGATCAGGCCTTTAGTAGATTTAGTATAATATTGCATCTACAAAAGTAAAACATTTTTATATAGGAATGGATGATTGTTAAGATTATATTTTAACAGCAAGGCAGAAACTTACCCAATCATCTTCAGGCTTAGCACCAGGAATCATAACATTGATTTCACTTGACTTGGCTGTTGTTATAGATGTCCGCAAAGAATCTTTGTTTAAATATATCTGGCAACCTGACGTGTTGTCCACTGAAATTGTTGGAGCTGAACCCTATGATAAGCACAAAATAAATAGACACAACTCTCAAATCAACCAATGACCCCCATGAACTTGGCATCAATTTCTCAGTCAAACAATGATTCTCAAGAGTATATATGATTAGCAAACATTAAAAAGGCAAGCACATATTCGAGAAACTTGAGAGAAAAACTTATCGAAATTCAATCGGACTTCACTTTTTTACCTTTTTTTTTTTTTTTTCTGTGACCGGATGATTTAAAATCACCAATTTCTGTATATACTTACATCAAATTTAAGAGGAAAAGAACATATACCTGACATTGCACCTCAACACCATTGCAATTTACAATCTCACAAGCAGCTACAACATCCTATTTATCCAGACCAATAACATAGAATTAGACACAACGTTGCAAAGTAATGCTTCCATAAATCAGAAACATTATTGATTCGAAATACTGTCTAAATATTTCAAACTCACAGTAAATACAACTCCCATCTTGGTGCATTTGTCAATTGTAATATTGTTGACTTTTCCTGCACATTTTAGAATGATAATAAGTCGGTTGTAGCTTTCTGAATAGGCACACACAAGGTGAAAATTCAGCAATGATCAGTAGGATTAGTAAAGAACTATATAATATACATGTAATTACACATTGCAAGAAAAATCCAGCAAATTATTTAATAATAATTACCTTGAATCTGCAAAACAGAGTCTTTGCATCCAAAAACGTACACAGACTGTTTTGCATCACAGTCATCAATTACTAAGTTCTTTCTCCCAATTTGATTTTCAACAACCCACCTGTGACAAAAGCACAATAGTTACATACTAGCATCAACTTCATATGTAAAAGCAAGCCATAGTATATATTATGCATACTCACTTACGACCCATTTGAAGCTCTAGTTTGGGAGGTCCTACTTTAGAGAACGAAGGTGAAGAAGTGCGAACTTCTTTTTCACCAGCAGCAACAACACCAGTTCTATCTCCACGATTTTTGGTCTTCATATCATCAGTGACCTTTTTCAGGCCTAGGAAGAAATTAAATTAGATTATTGTTCAGCTGCTTAATATATCAATATACAACAAAGAGAAAAGTAGGGAGGAGGGGGGAGAGAGAGAGAAAGAGATAGAGAACTACCTGCAGTGACAGGCTTTGAACTAATTTCTTGAAAAACAGCAGCCATCCCTTCTTTGGGGCGTGATGAAGATGCCTGAGAAGACTCAGAACTGAAGAGAGAGGCCGGTGGAGGAGGAGGAGGAGCAGGGGCACCAGGTGGTGGAGCCCTTGTTGGAGCTTTTGGTGGAGCAGAAGCCACTGTTTTGCCTGTAGCACTCCACACTGGGCCCAAAGGATATTGACTCTTAACATATTCCCTCAAACCAGGCAAATACAACTCCTTCACAGCTTTGGCCCACTCAACATGATTTGGGTCTTTAGTTTTGTACTCTACAAGAATCTGAATATCATGACGCAAAATGTCAACACCAAATAAATGAAACTATTTTGCTAACAAAATTACCATATAACTGCAAATGGATAATGTGCAAGGAAAACCATAGGTTAAACTAGAATAAGAAATTACCATGAAGCGATGGAAGTAGCAAACAGAAAGGCCAAAATAAATTTGGGCCATTACTAAATCAAAACAACTCCACAAGGTTCCTTTCCTTTATATTTATTTTCTTAATAACAAATATATTAAATTCAAAGTAATGCGCATGGAAATATCAGCACATACATATGCTAGTATAATAATTGAAAAAGAGTTTGGAAAGGAAGTTTCATAAATCAGCATCCTTGTACACTTCTAAAGCAGTTCCCCATGCTTTTATACTCTACTAGAAAGTAAAAGAAATCATGTATGCCAACAGGCAGTATAGATTGTACCTTGTTGTTGTAAAATTCAGCCATTTGCCAACTTTCTTCCACATGAGCAATAGGCATGCTCATACCTTAAACAGTAAGCAAATTAAAGTCAAACAGCAGAAAATTACTTGGCTTGATATCAAAATATGAAAATAGTCGAGAAATGTGTCTTACCACAGTCTTTGCCTGTATAAGCAATCCATGCTAAAGCTGAGAGACTATCAGCAGCAGTCTTTATGTGATTAAAGAAATCAGACCGCCTCCCTTCTGTCATTTTATTTGCTTTCATAACCACTTCGTTCAATGGTTTAAGAAATTCAGCCAATCCCGCAAGGTCAGGTTTCTATAACATCATAACAGAATCCATTCAAAATCATGACTCACTCTGATTATCAATTACCAGAAATAAGTCATTAAAAATGAATGTCAGACATATACCCTAAAGCCGATTCTTTATCCCAGTACTTAATCCAGTCTTCTACTCTATTACTAAAACATTTTGTCAGAAGTTCTCTATTGTGATACAAAATTTACAAAATGAAAACCCTTGACACCCAAAAGATAACAGTAACCGTGTGAAAAGACATCTGAAAACTATTTTTTTTTTTCAATTTTAACTACACTGCAAATTTTTCATAACGCATTGGTTACTCCCTTTTCGGCTTCCAAGCAAGAACTTAACCTTATCAAGACACATTTTACAGTGAAATCAACCCTATCAAGCTAGATTATCCATTTGCTACAAGGCCAACTTACATCAGTATCTAGAAAGTAAACTAAGAATGACAAATTAACAATTTCAATTCAAACCCACAAAACTCAAGCTAAGTATAGGAACAAAGTTCCCTGGAAGATCGAATTTCCAATGTTCGAATCATGCAGTCACTGTTCAATCCAAAATTCCAAAAATTTCACAAATTAAAAGTGAAATGCATCAAAATCTAATCAACTTAAAAAATAAATCAAATCCGAACTAATAACATTTACGGTATACAATCCGTTAGCGTTACTCAAATTACGAAAACCTGAGTTTGTTTAATCTTCATAAGAAGCTCCTTCTGCACAGTAAAAGCTTCTTCAAGAATCTTTGTGGCATCAAGAACCTGACCTCCGATTTTCTCGGCAGCAGTTGAAACCCTACCGAAATACTGTCGCATCATATCATCAAACGCCACAATCGATGGATCCACCGCCACGTCAGCACCGCCATCGCCACCACCAATCTCAACACCACCACGTGACGACAGCGACAAGCCCTCTACCCTGGCCACCGCCGCTTCCAGCCGTGCTATCAGCTTCTCCTCCATGACCTCAAAGCCCAAGCCCAAGCTCTCAACTCTATCTATAACAGATCTGATGATGTGTGTGTTAGTGGCTGTTTATTTATGCGGAGAAGAGAAATGAGAATGTTTTGTTGTGTTTCCTTTACGCCGAAAGTGAAAAGAAAGGAGTGGATTTTATGTTGGCGCGGATTTGGGTAAAGAGATGGTGAGTTTAAGTGAGTGTGACGTCGGGACACGTGTCGGATGGAGCGACGCTCTTGGCTGTTCTTGCGCTGTGAGACACCCATTAACTGAACAGAATAAGTAGAAATTTTAATGAACGTGTAAGATTGTAATTGAACTAGTTGGGCCCATGATTAGGGAGGACAGGAGCCGTTGATTTTTCTTCTTGACGTTCTCTGTCATTCGCATGATCATCATTCATCACTTCAGCACTATCTTGTTGATAATACGTACGTGCTCAAGGGTAGGGGTGCAGTCGATCCCGAATAGCTCACGACTCATGACGAACTCAGGCTCGACTTGTTGAAAATCGAGTAGTTCACGAGTTCGAGCTCATCTTCAAGCTTGTGAAAAATATTGAGCTTTTCGTGCTCGATTTGAACTGCTCGCGAACTTCTACAAAAGTCGAGACGTCATTCGAGTAGGAGAGCTCGTGAGATCGATCGATTTGTTTCAGCTCGCATATTCAGATTTGCCCTAAAATCTAAAACAAAAACATTCGACCGTAAAATCCCTAAAACATAAACATTTTCCCTTCAACCGTATTTCACCTCCGCCAAATCACACCGCAAGATCTGAGACGCCACCGTTGTCCAGCCTTCATTCAGCTACTACCGTCCAGTGACCAGCCTTCATTTACCCTTCAACTTTATTTCACCTGCACGTCGTAAAATCCCTAAAACAGAGACATTTTCCCTTCAACCTTATCTCACCTCAGCCTTCATTTACCCTACACCAGCTTTGAATATTTCTCATTGATATTTTTATTTATTCACATTGTTGTTTTAGAAATCTATTTGGTAGCCAAATGGAAAATGAAATATCTTCGGCTACTGGTCTTGTTGTTCATGCAAGAAAAGAGAAGCTTCGTGGGTCAGATGGATGCAAGAAAGAGAAGCTACTGCTCTTGTTTGTGTAGCATGTGTAACTGCTACTGCAGAAGAAGACATGTGATAGATAGGGTGCTCTTTTGTTTCCCATGGACTTAATTCCATATGCTTAATGTTTGCTTCTATTTTGTGTTTTCCTTTTAATGTTGTTTTTGGATAAGGATTGTTAAATTTACAGCTTGGATGTTGTTTTTGGGATGAAGGATTGTTGAATTTAGAGCTTATGTTTTGCTTTGAATGTTGTTTTTGGGATGAAGGTTTCTTTGGGATCAAGTGGTTGGCTCATTTTCCTAGTTTGAATTCTGGGATTTTGGTGAAATTGATTAAATTGAAGTTGAATTTTTTTTTTATTTGTTGATTTGCAGTGTAAGTGTATGATAATTTGTCTGAGTTAAACAAAAGAGAGAGGCTTTTTGTTCCTACGTTATTATTTAATCGAGCTCAGCTTGGCTCAGCTAATAAGCGTTCGAGCCGAGCTCGAGCTAGTAATTTTATGAAATGAGCCGAGCTCGAGCTCATGAGCTCTGACTCGATGAACTGAAGCTCAAACCGCACTCCAATAGTAACGAGCCGAGCTCGAGCCAGTCATTACTCGACTCGGCTCCGCTCGAATGTACCACTACTCAAGGGTGCTCAACAAAGGCCCAATTTAGATGTCCTAATTATTTAAGTACTTCTTAAGTTTCTGTTTCAAAGGTGACAGTGAAATAATGGATCTTATTTATGTTCCTCTAAAGCAATCCATTACAGGTATCATAGGCTTCTTTTGATAATTGGCATGAGGTAAGTTTGTCTCATTGGGGATTTTTTATCTAGTTAACCATGTGCAAGGAAAAGATACAATAGTCCTATGATGGTGAGAACTAAAATGATGCATTTAGGGGTGTGCAAACCGAGGTTTCGGTTCTGGTTCCGGCTTCGATTCCTATCTAGAGCCGACCCTCAAGAGTAAGTTTCGGTTCAAGAAATCAGGAATCGACTGATTCTAATTCTAGTTTCGGTTTCCACCCCTGCAGGAACCAATCGGAACCAAGATATGGGTATGAATAGGAACTGAATGTAATTTNGCCCAATTTAGATGTCCTAATTATTTAAGTACTTCTTAAGTTTCTGTTTCAAAGGTGACAGTGAAATAATGGATCTTATTTATGTTCCTCTAAAGCAATCCATTACGGGTATCATAGGCTTCTTTTGATAATTGGCATGAGGTAAGTTTGTCTCATTGGGGATTTTTTATCTAGTTAACCATGTGCAAGGAAAAGACACAATAGTCCTATGATGGTGAGATCTAAAATGATACATTTAGGGGTGTGTAAACCGAGGTTTTGGTTCCGGTTCCGGCTCCGATTCCTATCTAGAACCAACCCTCAAGGGTAAGTTTTAGTTCAAGAAATCAGGAATCGACTGATTCTGATAGTAGTTTCGATTCCACCCTTGCAAGAACCAATCGGAACCAAGATCTGGGTAGGAATAGGAATTGAATGTAATTTTTGTAAATTGTGAGGGTATATTATAATTTTTTTAGGTTTATTTGTCATTTTTTAAAAGGTATGGGGGTAACTAGAGTAAACCTGAGTAACCAAAACCGAAACCTATGTTTCAAGTTCTGTTTCCTAGCTTCTAGGAGCCGAGACCAACCAATTCCAGTTAGGTTCCAAATCCAAAGAACCGGCCAATTCTGGTTCTAGTTTCAATGAATTTGGGCAAGTACCGAACCCGCCCACCCTACATCCCAATAATTTCAATGCCACATTTAATTTGTTTATAATATCCAAAATTAATGCACATAACTCATTAAATCCGATGAAAAATCAAGTTTAAAAGAATTTCCACCAAACCTTATAATCGTTGTAATTGTTTATGAGGAAACTTAAAACACAAACCTTATAAGAACCAAATCATGTGAAAAATCATTCGACTAACCTCTTGTGAACGATCTTTCCAATTTACACTAAAACCCAAAACAGAAACTTTGAATTCACCCCTATATAAAAATGTATCATTCCATTCATAGTCATGAAATGAAATGAAGAAACATGATGCTACCAACTGAACGTGAAAGCACATGCTGAGCCAGGAAGATGGGCACTAAGCTATCATGAAGGTGACCCAGTGATGAGTACAACATTAGAAGTCTTCTGTAAATTGCCAGTGAAGCACACACTAAACATTGTAGGCCACAAGCAACGAACTCAACTCATTGAATTAGTTGTAGCGACATCAGCTGCTACGCCTCGTTGCAACAGCGATTGATCGCTTGCTTGCTTTTTTTTTTTTTTTTTTTTTTTTGATATCCAGGGGTGTCCCGGCCAGTTTACGCACACTTCAACTAGTTCCCTAAAGCCCTAAAGTTAACGGTCAGGTAAGCCTCCAGTAACAATCCTTTATTAGTAGTCGTGGGGATTCGAACTCAAGACCTCTTGAGTAATACAACTAAGAGTCCCAAGCGAACCGTCAAACTATCTAAAGATAGTTATCGCTTGCTTGCTTGCTACTGCAGTTTTCTACAACAAACAGCTGATGTAACCATAACAGTCTGTGAAAGTAACAGCATTATCATGTTTGGTTAAACCAGCTCAGAAATTTCGGTTTGGTGGTAACTGAATTCTGAAGTATTTCCTTATCTTCTTCTTGCTTCGGAAATTAGCTAAAAACTCGACTACGGGATAGTGCAGGAATAACGTATGTATAAACAAGCAGCAAGCAAGCAGAAGGGTAAACTTTCACACACTGAAATTGAAGTGAATATTTACAAGGCTTGTTCCAATGTAAAATGCCGCGATATATTGACAAAAGGTAACAGAAAATTGGATAAGGAAGTAAAGTAATTAAAATACTATATGCACATCAAAGGCTGTATGATTTTTTCTTCGTAAATTAGGTGGAAAAAATTATTCTACCATGCCTTAGCCTGACAACAATCATCTCCATCTTTGCCTATCAATATCACCACCTCCTGCATGCTTCGGTGGCTGTTGAACTTTGATGGGCACGGTTTCATGCGAAGGAGTAGGATCTTTCTCTCGTGGTGATCGGTGTTCCTGCAGAACACAAAAACAAATTACCAATTGAAACAGACATGTTCATTAGTATGAACAAGACTGATACCTAAAGACTCTGATAAACATGACTTACAGCACGAAAAGGGAATTCGTCTCCATCAAGCATATGAACGATTTGTCCCATCTTTGGTCGCTTATGCGCATCCAAATCTATACAACGGAGACAAACAAGCAATGCCTTTTTTAGAACTCTTGCAGATGGCTGAACTTCAATAAGAGGATCCACAAGCTCTTCTCCACGGCGGCTTGCAACCATTCCTTTGAACCAGTCAACCAAGTTCATCTAAAATCAAAACATCAACAATAAACAGAATTATAAATGTGACCAGCTGTTTTATAAAGATGCAGAATTGCAAATTGTTTTTTCACCTCCCCAGCTGGTCTTGAATAATCGATTGGGCTCCTTCCTGTAATCATTTCCATGAGTAAAACTCCGAAGCTATACACATCACTCCCCTCATTAAGCATGCCTGTGCTTGCATACTCAGGAGAGACATATCTGCAGCCAAATGATGGTAACTAATATAATGCTAAAGTGTAAATATAAATGATTATTGCTACAGTTTGAATAATTCAATATAGAAAACTGATTTAAGAATCTGAGAAAGAACAAACCCAAATGTTCCCATTACTCGTGTAGTAACATAGCTAGCCTCAGATCCCAAGAGCTTGGCCAATCCAAAATCTGATACTTTTGGGTTCCAGCTCCTATCCAGAAGAATGTTGCTAGATTTCACGTCACGGTGAACAACTTTCGGTTCTAAACCTTCGTGCAAATAGGCAAGCCTGTAAAAGATAACAACCATACAGGTTTATCAATGAAAAGGCAATATCAAGATGCAAGAGAAACTATTAAACACACACAACATGCAGAAGATTAGAACAAAAAATGGACCTTTTTACTTAAAAAGAGAAGCTCAGTAAGTAAATTATCATAAACCAGTCAAATGATAAACTGAATAGCGTTAGAATATGAATGCAATTTTACAAGCCAATGATGGTTTACGAGAATTAAAACATTCTCCTCTTTGTTCCAAGGTATGCGCAGCCCTGACCAAGAAGGATACATTTCTGAACAAGATCAGTAACATTAAGGATCATCAAATGAAAACCAGAAACCGGAAACGCCTTACCCTTTTGCTGTCCCAATGGCAATCTTCATTCGAATATCCCATGTGAGAGGGCTAACAGAACCGACATCACCATGCAGCCATTGCTCCAAATTGCCATTGTTGATATATTCATATACAAGCATCCTAAAGAACCAGAAGTTCTCATAGACAAAATCAAAACGAAAGTTGAAGAATTTCTCTTTCTAATTACATTTAGATGAAACGAAAATGCGTCGGAAAGTATACCTTTGAGTTCCTTCCGCACAATATCCAATTAAACACACCAAGTTCTTATGCCTAACTTTTCCAATGGCTTCAACTTCCACCTTGAACTCCTTTTCTGCCTGCCCTCTACCGAAAAAAAAAAAAAAAGAATTACCACCATTTACATTAGCGCTCCTTTAACTTGTTAAAAGCACGATTCCTGATTTGATCTCATATTGGTGGGAGATTTTTCTTTTTCAAAAGCAAAAATTAAATAAATAATTTTTATAAAAGGAAAAAAAAAAAGTTAAAGAAAGTAAGAGAGAATCATAATAGTTTAAATATTAAAGAGGAGATGATCAAAAGTAAATTAAAGAACAAAAGTAACCATTTTTACTTTTCCTAGTACTCCGCCACATAGTTTGTTCTTCTATTACACCGACACATCACACTTAAACGTCAAAACATGTTCCTGAATCGAAAGCTCGAAAAACTTTATTTTTTAAAAAAAAAACAAGACAGAATCTAATTTTTAATGCTGTAACTTGCCGCATAACTCGGATCTGACATGCAAAAATTCATTAATTAAGGAAGAATTCAACTACTGTTATTATGACCAAAGATGTTTCTAATGATATAAAGAATTTAAAAAAAAAGGAAAAAACTTCTAGTTTTGAGGTAAATTAATGTTTTTTTATCACCAGAAAAAAATTTCGGAAACAAGTTTTCCTTGGAAACAAACAGAATTAATTGAACGTACTTGTTGTTGAGAAGATTCTTGACAGCCACCACAGACCCGTCTTGTAAAACGCCTCTGTAAACAATACCATAGCCACCTTCACCGATCACATTCTCCTCCGCGAATCCACGGGTCGCAATCTCCAGCTCCCGGAGGGTATACCACCGGCCCCAACCAATGTCCACCGACACGTCACTAGTCTTAGCTGACACGTCATCGCTGTCTTCTTCTTCACTTATAATCTTCTTCGCCCCCACTTCAACGGCAACAACAATCTCACCCTCTTTTCCAACTTTACCCTCGTGTTTTTCGCTGTATCTGTTACGACCCAGATCTTTGATCTCCATGATCTCTTTGGACACCAATGGGATTAAACCTGAGCTGTGTTTGACTCTCATTTTCCGCTTTCTCGAGTTCTTGGCGAAGCAGAAACATAAACAGATTAACAAAGAAAGTAAAGCCGTGCATGTTAAGAGAATTACAACGAATACGTAGAGTTTGAGGCCGAGAAAGGGTGTTTTTGAGCTCAGTTTTTCCTGGAAAGAGTTGCTGTCGCCGGAAACTGACATTGTTTCCGGCTACGTGAAACTTTCTCGGGAAATTTAATAATCAGATTGCGTTTGGTTGATGGGAAAAAAATTTGAGATGACTTTAAAGCGTCAAAACAAAAGTGGAGAAATGGAGGGCTTTGATGCTTTAAGAAAGAAAAGGGAAGACAGACAGAGTAAAAAGGCTTCAACGTCTCAACGGATACAAAGCAAAAGGCAACAAAAGAGTGAAGAAGACGAAGAAAGTGTTTGGAACTCTTTGGGTTGGCTTTTGGATTTAATTACAGAAATGCCACTGTTTAATATACTAATTAATTATATGGATGCTAATTATATTCATAAATGACAGCTGTTCTACTACAAGAAGTCTACAAATATGTATTGTCAAAGAATTAACTATATATTATTGCCACAACTAAATTATGGAATAATTAATAATAAATTATACAATCTCATTATCTTAGTTTTTTTTTTTTTAAATCATCATATAATTTTACCGAGCATTGCTTTGCGAATCCGAGTTTAAAACCAGAGTTTTTATCGAACCCTACAATACAAGTTTTAGGAAACAGAAAAGAATGGCATTTGACATCTTTTGTGCAAATTCGAGTTCAAAATTAGAGCTTATATGAAACAAAGCATTTAGTTTCATAGTCATGACCAGACTTTAACCTAAATGTCACTGAGACTCTCGTTAGACTTAAACCAACCATATAATCTTTTGGAAGCGATGTATAATGACGTTTGTTAATGTAGGTCTCCATAAAATGACTCATACAACGGTCGTCTGTATCTCCCAACAATCCTAAACCTTCAAAATGCAAAAACCATTATGATAGATTTGAGAAAGTAGCAATCTCTTGGTCATTAAGTTCCTTAATTTTGGAACAAAGATTCCGAACGAAGAGTTAAATCTAACCCATCTAATTTGGGGGTTGGTTTGCAAGAATTACAAGTTTCAACAACAACCAAAATATTTTCATGTGACGGTGGCCAATGACAATGAGCCCTTACTTACTTAGCCCACAATTAATCCACAGATTTGAACAACCTCAACAGTCAACAGCCAGTTTGAACGTGAATATCTAATGTAACCTTACACCTAATTAATTTAAACCTAAGTCAAAATGCTTTGTTTAATCAACATTAAATTTGATAGCTACCATACTATGATTATCTATACACTCATTTTTCAACTCTTTACTTTAGTATATTTTTTAGTAGGTACAAATTACCCAATTGAGAAACTGAAAATTATTGTTTGTCTATCCATTAATACAAGATTTTAATGTGTCATTAATTATGGTCTAAATCAGCCACCATGTGAATCATGTTAAAGCTTCATTAATTTTATTGATATTAACCAAAGATAGTTTAATTAATTAATATCTACTTTATTCAACTACCTAGTAACTTTATTGGAGTAAAATTCAAGCTAAAACCCAAAACACCTACTTATAGACGTAATGAATTTGACCCACCCCTCAACAAAAATCTTATCATTTATATATATATGAAACGTATGATATCAATAATTTCTCTAGTAGTAAAGTGAACCATAAATTTAGGTTAGTTTCATTTATTCTCGCTCGCAAAAGCTAAAACACATCATCATCGCCCCAAATAAATGTTGGGTTTGGTAGATGAGCATGAGTAAAGGGTAGAATCGAAATTGAAATCGACCTCATTAAGGTCTGGTTCTGAAATATTGGAATTGAGAATTCTCGGGTTCTGTTCCGGTTCTTGCAATGTTGGGAACTGGGAATAGGAACCGAGGTCCGAGTACCCGGATAGGAACTGAGACTGAATTATAATTTTTATAAATCGTTGGGGGTGTATTTGTCTTTTTTGAGGGGTGTATTTGTTCTTTAAAAAATAAGGGGGTAATTGCAATTAACCCAGGTACCCAGAACTGAAATCGAAATCAGAACCTATGTTTCAAGTTCTAGTTCCAGATTTCTAGAAACCAGGACTGGCCGGTTCCGGTTCCGGTTCAGTTCCAAACCTTAGGAACCATTCGATTCCGGTTCTTTCAAAAAATGCAGGATACTCAGAACTTATCACCCTTATGTAGAACTCACTCTCAAAAGTTAGCTCAAGGGATGAGAGAGCTCAATCACATATATACACTATAACAGTCAACCCAATTGGCGACGTAGGACAAATACAACTTCTAACATGTAAATTTCAAACAAGATTTAGAAACTATAGAATAACTTTTAAAATTATCAATACTTACCTGAGGTTTTATGATTTCTAAATTAACCTTATAAATTAGAGTTATAAGACATCAACCCGCCGTAAGTCAGTGAACCATCAACACTTACGCTCTTCAATGAATATTTACTAAATTGCTTTTTTTTTTTTTTTTTTTTTTAATTTAATTGTTATAACATCTAAAACTTAACGGCGAATAAATTTATGTCATTTTAGAAACCTTGTAGAAATTTTAGTTATTCAATCAAATTTTTGTTTTACTATCATTAATCTATAAATTATAAACCTGTAAATGCTAATCCTACACAAAAATGATAAGATAAAATAAAAGCAATACGCGTAGGTTGGTCCGGACATCCTCGGATAAAAAAAAAAATAAAAGCAATGTGGTCCGAGATGTCACACTCTCATAATACGGTATAAGGTATAAGATGTAAAGACGTTTCGTAAATTGGTTGTGTTACTTGTGTACTTGTGTAGTTGTGCTAAGTTAATGAGTAAAGGCCCCGCATTAAGGCGATGTAAGGTCTTTATTGTAAATTCAATAGAAGTGGACTGGGGACGATTTGTTTTGGTGTTTGTCCAAGAAGACATAAAGGAAGTAGGGTAGGGCCATCAGCCATGGGGGTGTATTAATGATAAAGTGAAAGTTTCGTGAAATTTTTTTTTTTTTTTTGAGAATTTGAAAAATGAAACAAGCGCCATTGCATCGACCATTCCCCATGAGCCTAATAATAAAACCATGGGGGAGCCTGTTCTCTTGTCAGCATTCAATTGCTTCCACCAATACGACATTTACATTATTACCAGAAAATGGGGTCAAGGCTAATGCATCTTCTAACACTCTCCTTCAAGTTTGATGTATAAGATTGGGGTCTAAACCCGTATAAATAAAGGTGTTCATAACTGTTCGGTTAACCGTTTTTTTTAATTGAACTGATTTTTCAGTTTAGAAATTTTTCTGAATCGAAACTGAACCAGTTAAGAGAAAAATTGGTTGATTAGTTAGTAAATACCGATTAACCGGTTTTTCCTTTAATTTATTTTTGATTTTGTTTAATTTTGTTTTTAACTTCCATATAAATATTCTCCCTACCTTACTTGGTCTGAATCTCACACTAAATTCTAAATTTTGTGTTTGTGTATTAAAAAAAAAAATGCGTAAAGGGTGAAGACTGAAGAGTAAAGAGAAATAGATTTGGGGATTTAGGGTTTTTAATTTTAAAGTGAAAACCGGTTTTTAAAACCGATTCTGGTTAACCGGCTTTATAAATTCTTTAAACCAAGAACCAAATTGAAAATTCGGTTTATGTATTTTCTTAAACCGAAATCGAATCGGTTTTTCAAATAACCAAAAAACCAGTTCGATTAGGTTTTTTCTATATTTTTTTGAACACCCCTACATATAAACATGGCTTTAATACTATGATAAACAGGTTTAGATAAAACCCACGCATAAAAGTTAGCTTAAAGAACTCATGTACAAAATCTAACTCAAATGAGGAAGGAGCCCAATTACATATATACACCACATGACAAACATATCAAGGCCAATACATCTTTTAAGACTCTCTCTCATGTTCGGTGTCCAGGGCTAGGGTATAAACTCAAACAAACATAATTTTGATATCATGATAAACGAGCTTGGGTAGAACTTACTCACAAAAGCTAATTAAAGGGAGGAGGGAACCGAACCACATATATACACAATAACAATCCGCTAACTTGATAATATATGATAAATACAACTTCTAACAATATTAATGGGTGCGTTTGGTTTATTATTTTAGATAGGATTTTAGGAATAATATTGATAGTTGGATAGGTGAGTATTACGAGATAAAATTTAAAAATTTATGAAAAAGCCCCTAGGTTTGCTAATTTAATTAAACACCCTAATATATAAAATGACAAAAACACCCCCACCACCTGCAGTGCCAGATTCTGGCCACCACCATCGGAATCTGGCCGAAAAATCGCGTTACGACACAGACCGGTCGGATCTGTGTCGTAACGCGCCATTATGGCCTTTTCCGGCCAGATCCACCACAGATCTGGCCGGAAAAAGCCAGATCCATAGCCTCCCGTGGCCGCGACGGCCGGAAAAGGCCAGATCCATGGTGGATCTGACCGGAAAAAGGTCAGATCGCTGAACTTTCGGTCATTTCTGGTCGGCAGGTAGGCCGTGGTATATATTCCGGCTACCACTGACGGTGGTTGCCGGAATCTGGCAAGTATGGGTCGCAGGGGTGTTTTTACAAATTTTTAAACTTTTTTCAGGGGGTATTTAATGAAATTAAAACCTTATGGGGTCTAAAAGTAATTAAAAGAATAGGGTAATATTTCTAGAATAATGTGTCAAACATTATTTAAAGAATAGAATTGAAAATATGGGTAAAAATAATAAGCCAAACATACCATATTTCCAAGATTATAAGTTATTATCAATAAAGATTTTTAATATTTATGTGTTAAGTAAAATGATAATTAATCTAGTTACATTAGTTACATTACATTAATGGGTTGTTGAAACTATAAAGGAACTTCATTCATATATAGCCCAACGGTAAAGGCAAACCAATGAGGTTATACGTGGTTTCAACTCACAATCCCAGATTCGATTCTCCATTGAACACAAAGATAATATATTTGTATATAATTTACATAAGGAATCGTGATAATAAATTGATGTGGAATAACTTTTTCTAAAGATTAATCGAAGTAAGTGTAAGTTGGTCTGAATATTTCCATTAAAAAAAAAAAAAAAAACTATAAAAGAATAATAAATATTATTTTGGATGGGATTGTTGTTGGTTTAACGTTAATTTGGGACCCACGAAGTCAACAATTAAACATTCAATTAGCCATAAATTAGGGAGATATCAATGGGAATGCAACACCCTGAGAGTTGAGTGGGGACTTTGTGCTTACAATTATTATTCTCAACTTATTTAATTATTTTATAATATTTGTGACATGTCAAAATCAGAATTAAATTTTCATCATTCTAATTTGATTCCGTTGTTCCCTTGTACCCTACACCAATCTTATGCCAAACGTTTTTATGTTTATGACTTTTCAGTCACGTCATTTTTTTTAAAGTGATTTTTAAAATCCAATTAAGGAATTGAGGAAAAATTAGTGTAAATAAAAACTCTAATTAAGTTTAAAATTCAGAAAAAAATTGTGTAAACGAAAATTCTAATTGAGTTTGAAATTGAAGAAAAAGGGTACAAACAAAAACCCTTAGTTAGACATGACTATTTCTGGTATTAAATGAAGTTTAAAGAGATTATTATTATTATTATTATTTTAATATAACAAAGGTGTATTTATAATTTATCAATAGAAATACTGATCAATTTGATAAGAGCTAAAAATCATTCCGTTTTTTAGCAGTGCTATTTAAGCCCTATTTTAATTAAAATTTATTAAATAAAATATAATTCCAAGTACACTCACACCATTTGGTTCATTATTCTGATACTTTTTAGAATAATATTTTGAAAAAAGTTAAATTGAGTGAGTATTACGATGTAGGATTTAAAAATTAATAAAAATACCTCATATGTTTGTTTATTTACTAAACACTCCTATAATAAAATATTAAAAGTTAATAAAAACACCCCCAACTCACCCATTAAATACGGACAGTCGGCCACCACCGCCGGACGGTGGTCAGAGTTACTGTATTGGCGCATGACCGGTTGGATCTTGCTGGTCGTGCGCCGATATGGTCTTTTCTAGCTAGATCCATGGTGGATCTGGCCGTATTTGGTCGTCAACGATGGCCAAAGATATGGTCGTCGTTGATGGATGGCCAGATCTTTGGTTGTAGCTCTGATATTTTTTGACCAGATCAACCGTGGATCTGGCCGAAAAAGGCTAGATCGACGCACTACTGGCCATATTCAACTAGTAGTGTGCCATTATACCAAATTCTGGCCAGCTTCCAATAATGGTGACCGGAATCTGGTAAATGCAGGTTGCTGAGGTGTTTTTATAATTTCTAAAAAAAATATTTGGGGTATTTAGTTAAAATAACAAATTTAGGGAAGTTTAAAAGAAATTGAATAATATCGAATAATATTTTAAGAATAAGTCAATTTTACTGTTTAACTTTATTGAGAATATAACAAACGAAGCTGTTTTTCCACTATTATTCTTCTCCTATACTGTTCTCTTATAATTTATTTAATGAAATTTTATTTAATTTGGGGCTTATAAAGAGTTTTGGTACGACCTCAAATAACTAGAAGCGCCCCAGCAGCGCATAAATGGCTTTGTTGAGAGATAAGCCCATTAAATTTCTCAACTGAACTCTAAAATTAAGAGACCCGCCCATCAATATAAATGGATCGACCCAAGAGCCCGAGTGAGAGTAAAATGGGGATAAAATGCTGACATTTTCCAATAAGGAGCGTAGTTCGTACGCACCCTGCATAATTACCCGTGCAATTGGGGCTTGTCTAAATAAGCCATGAGGATGAGGTCATAATGTAGACAGATGTCAGATTCCATGTCAAATTCTTTAATCTTATCCGCTTTAATTCGTCTCTAAAAAAATAATATTAAATTTTGTTAATACCAATCTCTAATCACCGACTTATCCCTTCCATGAAAATATCAAATATCTCCCCTCACTCGGAGCATAGGTTAAATTTTTTTTTTTTTTTTTTTTTCCTCTAATAATCGAGTGTTTGAACTAGTTTATGAATAATTTAACAAATCTTTAAAATCTATTAGATATCATACAAACCCAAAAATCTCAGGGCATGTTTGGTTTAGTATTCTATTAATTGTTTTAATTATATTTTTAAAATACGTGTTTGACACCTTATTCAGGGAATTAAATTTTGAAAATTAAATTCATGACTAATCTGATTTAGGCGCGTTGTAGTTCGCTTTTTTTTCCCCCTTCTTTCTTCTATTCTCTCCTTCTTCTTTAGTTTATCTATGACTTCCACCTTCATATACCATAGCTTTCACCTTCTTCTTCAAAGATCAGAACTATCGGCTGCCACCCTCTTCCACATTTCTTCTTCAAAAATTACAACATAAACCACCACTCTCTTCCACGTTACAACCACCATAACACCCTTTTCCACCTGCATTCAAAAACACCACCCAAAAACATATTTTTCCACCGCTTAAGACTCAAGAAACACCACAATCTTTTGGTTTCCTTCGACAAACTAAGGCCAACAGGTACAACCAAGATCACCCCCTCTCCGCCCACAAAAAATTCTATTAATAAATCCTTTATAAAAAAAATTACCAAACAATTTTTCTACAACTTATTCAACTATAATATACTATTCTAAATACTTTACCAAACATCAAATCATATTCTCATAATAATAACTCAACTAAATACTCTACCAAATACATTTTTTTCAAATTCTATTCTCGAATAATAATCCAACTCAACTTTATAATAATATTTCAAAAATACTACTCAAAATAACTGAAAGTCACAATGTTATTAGGTAAGTGATTCTAAGATTTGAACCTAAAAACTCAAAAAAAAAAGAGTAAACCTGTTCGACCGTCAGACCAATCCCTTGGGATTGTATAGGTAAAATCTAATTCATCAAACACATAAAGAAACAAAAAGCTAAATAAATGGAAGAGTTAACAGGCAGTCATTCGTATAACATAAAATTATTTACATATTATCCACCGTAGAACATATTGTAGTACAGTTCTATATTCTAATCTTGCTGATTTTTCTCTTAAAGAATGTGTTAAATATAGCTAAAGCAATTAAAAAGAATACTTTAGATCCAATTTATAAGGAAAAATACCTAAAATTAAAAAGAATAAAAATACTAAACGTACTAAGTAATGCAAATAAAATTCAGATTCAAGTGTTTGTAGTATGTACACATGTATATAATTAAATTTATCTCAAGAGGTTAATTCTAATTCAAAAACAAGGTCTAATTCAGAATTTAACACTACTCTTTTTCAACTTTCAAAATTGTATTATGGGGGAACGATTTACACCCACCCAAAGTTTGCTGTAAAGACAAAGTGGTACCCAAAAGGTTTAGTAATGACAAACAACCACTTTCCGTCATGTTCTGTTAGGAATTTTCATCTGCTAAAAGAAAAAAATGGTGAAAAGATTATAATACCCTTAACATCTTCTTCTTCTTGGCATCACACATTAGCAACCTCTGCTACTAGTGTTTTGGCCACTTTTTTTGGCCATTTTCCACCCAAAACCTCCTCCATCCACCCTCCTGGCCCTCCCTCACTGAACCCACCTAATCTCGACACCGGTGCACTCATTAATCGCAAAAATGAGGCCACCGTTATTCCTTGTGACTACCCATATTTGAGGTCGAATTTTGGTCGATATTCACATCGAAAATCCACCATTCGAATCCCAACCATTCCCTCTTCAAAACCCAACATGCCATCGCTCCTCCCCACTTGTCGTTTGTTGTCTAATACTCAGTGTTTGCCCGCCCTCCAACTGTTTGTGAAAATTTCCCAACCAAACCAACATACTACCACTCCTTTGTTGATGATCTTAGGCTCTTTTGGAGTTTGTTGTTGAAAATATTGTTGTTGAAGTGTTGTTTGCTTGTGTGGGTTGTGTTTTTTGGTCGCCGTCACTCCTCAAGCCTCCCATCTTCGACATTTTCTAGCACACACAAACAACGTGCTCGACAAAAGGTCGTAGTCACCGATCTCCATTCCTAATGTGCACCAACAAGGGCCAGTGTCACTGTTTACCATCGAACTTCGCAGAAAAATGATAAATCTGATCAAAAATCAATCGATGAGGCAAGAGGGTTGTGCAAATGGGCTTGGGGTGAGAATGGATACGGAGAAAAAGATTTAAAATTTAAAAATTTTGTGACCGTAGATGAAATTACTATATTATCTTTTAGCAGACAGAAATCTCTAACAGAATATAACAGAAAATATCTATTTGTCATTTCTAAACCTTTCGATATCCATTTGTCTTTATGGCAAACTTTGGGTAGGTGGAAGTTCTTCGGCTTTTTGTTAATTCCAAGTTTAGGGTTGATCTAAGGGGGAATGAAAAACCCGGCCCGGCCCGGCCCTAATTGGGAGCATATGTTAAATCTAATTCATAAACAGGGTTATTACTATTAATTAATCAAGATTAAATAATATATATATAAAAAAAAAAAGAGTATTGGATAAGCACTGAATTGTAAGATAAAAGTGAAAGCGCCAGTCCGTAAATACCTGCCCATCTAGCGTCTTCAGCAACTTCTTTAGACGCCCAGCGGCCACATAGATTCACCTACTCGCTTGTTGGTATAGCCACGTGTCCTCTGCAAATCCTCTACTCAATAATAAAACCGTACCCATTCCCTTCCCCGGTTTTTTCGTTTGCCACCCACAACATCGATTCAATCCTAACAAATGATCCCGACAAACACCAAAAAACGAAAGCGCGTGCCTTACCACACTACCTCCACGCGCCACGCTGTCGACACGACCCGTTCGGAATCCACTATGAAACTCCGACGTATCAAATCCATTTCCTCATTCAACGACGACTCCACCGCCGACGTCATCCTCCGCCTGTACGTGGATTCGTCTTCCCCTTTCGTCGCCGAATCCTCCGCCGAAGACGAGGTCCAGATCTATCTCCACTCCGACGTCCTCCGCCGCTCCAAATACTTCGCCGCTTTCCTCTCCGATCGCTGGCAAAACTCTAGTCCTAACAACAATGACATTGTCTCCGATAGCGACAAGAAAGTCATCCGTCTCAATTTTGGCGTGTCAAGTACCAAGCCAAGCTCAATCTCCGATCACGAGACAGTCATGCAGCTTCTTTACACAGACGATTTCTCTTCGGTTATAAACAGTGTCACCGTAGCTCTCGATTTACTCCTGGTCGCTTTACAATTACTCTTCGAAGATTGTGTAAAAGCGTGCATTAAATTTATCGAAGCAGTACCGTGGACCGAAGAGGAAGAAAAGAGAGTTATCGAGATAATTCCTTTATTACGGGAAGAAGAATCCAGAGAACTCTTATCTAGGGTTTATTCGCACGATGATTCGTGCGAAGAAATGCTTCACGGACTTATTACGTCAGCAATTCACAACCATCCAAACATGGCCTTCGTGAAGGCGTTTGTGGCGAAGCTGCTGAGGGAGTTCGCTTCGAGGGAGTCGGCGAGACGTGTTTTAGAGAGGGCGTTTGAGGAGAGTTTGAAGGTGGTGAAAGAGAGTTTGGAGGAGTACTCGAGTCCCGATTTTAGAGGGGATACGAATGAGACGGAGGCAATACAGAGGTTGAATTTGCATACGGCGATGACGAATGGGCGGCATTTGGTGTGGTTGGTGGAGAGGATGATAGAGTTGAGAGTGGCGGATAGTGCAGTGAAAGAGTGGAGCGAGCAGGCGGAGTTCACAGCGGATTTGCAGCGGGCGTTTCGGGATGATGCGTGGAGGAACATTGTCCCTGGTTTGCCATCTGTTGTGATGAGGTGTACTTGTAAGCTTGCCAATGGGATCGCTGGGGGCACCATTTTGGCTGCTAGACAGGTATGGATTTGAGACTTTTGCAGAGTTTTATTCTAGATTGACATTTAATCAAACAGTTGCTTGGTGGAAAGTAATATAGATTTATATCTAGTGTTATTTGGTGATTTATCTTTCTATGCCTGCTTTATATAGTTAATCCTATGTTATGGAATTTGGACTGAAATTTTTTCCAATTTGATTTTGTATAAAATGGTATAATGTTTCACGTTGATGACTTATGTTATGGCACTATTGGTTAAAATTTGAATTTGCAAATGCTACTGTTGGATATTATTTCTGAGATTTGTCAGTCTTTTTTTTTCCCCTTAACATTCCCTACTTCTGTAGTATTAGCGTTTGTTTATTTTTTGAAGATCTATCCATGATTATCTGTAAGTTTTAAAATTGCATGGTAAAGCCAGGTTTAGCTGTTAATTTATGAAGTTGGAAGTCCCCATGGAGGGTAGTGTTAGTTTTACATGAAATCGTTGGTCTCTCTTTTCTTGTCTCCCTGGTTTCAACCATCTTCTTTGCATTTTCTGGTTCTTTTGAGGGACTTGAGTTGCGTTCAACAAATCTAAGTTACTGTCCATGTATGATTATATTGTTTACATGGATGCTTGCTTGAAGATTTATGGTGGTGGCTGTTAAGACATTTTATTTTTTCTTTTCGGAAGAAAATCTCCTTTCACTCGTGTCTTGTCATGACAACTCCGTATGCAGTGAATGCAAGGTCCTGCTTTCCCCTGATGATATCTTTGCCATCTTTTTGACTTGGATAGAATATATATATATATATATATATATATATATATATTTGATCAGCATAGTGGGAGGATTTTCTTGATGGGTCTTAGGGTGTTGTGCCTATGGTTTAAGTTGGATGATCGGCATATCAATTCTTCATCCATCATTAGATGTGACATTTACATGTAAAAAGTTATTCATTATAATAGGAGGTTATATGCTTAACTCAGGAAAAATTATTCATCAAAGGAGTAGTTTACATGGCAGCTATTGTCTGTGATTGATGGTTTCTGAACTGTGTTTAGAGGAACGAGGAAAAGGCTATGATATAATGAAGGAAGATCAGAAAAATTAGAAGAGGCTTTCAAGAAGCTATTTCCGCACATCAACTGTGGGAGACTTTCTAATTAATCTCATATTCACTTTCACAAGTCCAACCATCCATTTTTAGTTTCTCATAAGAACCATTATTATTGATTGGAAAAATGTTTGGGACATCCCCGATTTTAATATTTGGAAGTTTTCTCATGGCTACGGAGGTTTAACAAAGTTCTGACTTCAGTTGGAGACCTTAGTTTCTTGCTATCCTTGTTATTAGATAAATTTTTTTTGCCTCGACCAACTCCTATTGCGTTGTTTTAAAGTCTTCTGTGTAACTGCTAGTTGACTTTGAAGAAATGAGATCTTGGTTGTTTAATGTCATGTCAAAGGGTTTAAATAAACTAAGAAACTGTATTTTTTTCATGTTCCAGGTTAGGATGAAGCTTGTAAAAGATTGGCTTCCTGTTCTAATTGTTTGCAAAGACAATGTGTCGCCTTTGGTGCCCAGTCAGAAAGTACTCTACCTGGAGCTTGAAGAAACATTCCTTAGAATCATATCCACTCTTCCCATGTCAGATGCGCAAGAGTTGTTGCAACAGTGCCTCAGCTTCTCCACCAAAAATGTCGAAGATTGTCCTCACTTAATCACAGCCTTCAACACCTGGTTCCGCCGAGCAACTCGGCCCTCACTAACAGATGACCGTAGTTAGAATTAGATGCATTCTTTCTGCAGCCTTTGTTTTAGAGGTATAGTTTTTCACTGTCTTATATTGTGTATAAACAATGGTATTTGACTGTATATAATAAGAATACCGATCTTTCCATGTTTGTAACAGAAGCAAATCTGAATGCTTTTGATGTTGTTCCTTTGTAAATTTGTTTGCGTCATGGGACTAACTCAACCAGATTGTAGAAGATAAAGACATTACCGTCTAGGTGTAATTTGTAAAGTGGCCTATTTATTTGGGCTTTCAATCTTTGCAATGTTACTGTTTATAGAAAAAACAATTGTAATATCCTCTATTCATCTCGTACAGTGAGCTTTGGATGACATTTTCCCACCCAAGGTTTGATGAAACGACACTTTGCCACCCGTCAAGTTTCAAAATGACACTTTCCTATCTTTTGTTAGGTTCTGTTAGTGTTTTCTATTAATATTTGATTGAAAAGACGAAAATACTCTTAAATATTTTACTTCTTAATTAGTTGATTATAAATTAAAATTTAGTTAATTTAAAGTTTTTATTCGATTATTTATTAGTCCAAGTTTAAAGATATTTTTTTTCTTTGTTTATTTAATTAATTAGGAATTTTGATTTTTTATGTTAATCAGCAAAAATGAAAAACACTATAAATAATGGTGATGTAATATTAATGACATTATAAATAAATATTGAAATTATTTAACTTTAAACAATTTTATAGTATTACTCCTAACTTTTTAGGTGGGGTTAACTAGTTTTTCTTTTTTGAATTTTTAATATTTGACTTTTTAGCTAATTAAAAAATAATAAAAAATTTATAAAATAAAATATTTAAAAGTATTTTCGTCTTTTTAGTAAATATTAACGGAAAATATAAGAGAACCTAATGAAGGGTGGGAAAGTGTCATTTTGAAACTTGATGGGAGGGAAAGTGTAGTTTTGCCAAACCTTGGGTGGGAAAATTTTGTTCTCCCTTATGATTTATCTTTATTTGGTTGGTAGGCTTGAATTTGTCACTTATTTAATACAAGTAGTGGGGTTTAAGCATTCGAATTCAAGATATTAGCCTTTGGAGATGAGTCAAGAGTATAATTTAAGATGGGTAAAAGATAAATCCTTAATTTTCTAAGCCGGAAGAGTAGTTGAATTACAACTGTCATGGGCTATTGACGTAGTGTCCTATTTTGTTTCTATGCTGTTTTGGGCAACTTTGCCATCAAAACATGGAGTAAACGACATCTTCCCACCGAAGATTTGCCTTAATGACACTTTCCCATTAAAAAGCTTCAAAATGCTACTTCCACACTCGACGTTTATATTTTGTTAATACCCAAAATACATTTTATTTTCTTAATCGGCGTTCGACGCTTTAGATCATTATCTAAAGTACACGAAAAATATATTAGCTTACCATCTACTTGAATTACTTGACAATCCAAAAATAACATACGAATTACTTCTCCGAGAGAGTTGAAGAAAATCGATGGTTGGAAGAGTACAAGTAGACCATGTAGACACAACCGGCTATCCTCCTTGCTATGAAAAGAAAGAGAATGTTGAAAACCTGCTGGAAATTATACTTTAAATTCTTATGCTTTTAAATCAAGACAAACCTACAAATATATTTTATAAAAGTTGGATGACTCATCTTATAGAGAGCAGCACTAGCTTTAACCGTCTAATGTCTTCTTCTTGGATGATTTTTATTCACTCTTCTCATGTTTTTGAACCTTACTCTTTCACCCATCATTACAAACTATAATAGTTTTCCTGTTGTAAATACAATATAAAAATTAGGGGTGAACAGTTTCGGGTACCTGCTGAAATTGCTAAGAACTAGCCGGTTCCTGGAACTGGAACCTAAAATGCAAGTTCCATTCTGGTCTATGGTACATAGGAGAATTAAATTACCCCCTATTATTTAAAAATGAAAATATACCCTAATAAAATACAAATACACCCTTGGTAGTTCCAAAATTCACACACCATGAAATATGTTAGATCTCAATATTAGAATTTGTAATTCTGGAAGCTTTGCCAACCAATGAGGAAAAGTATCATTTATCATGTTGTTCCCAACATTCAGAACTTCCAAATGGCTACAATTAACCAAAGTAGGTTGTAATGATCCCTCCAACTTATTGTCGTTAAGGTTAATATATTGAATGAAGCTATATGCAGATATTGAGGGGATGTCACCATTGAAATTGTTCATTTCAAGGTTCAAGAATGAAAGCCAATTTGTGTTTCCTAGACATTGAGGAATTGTTCCACTCAAGCTATTGAAAGATAGGTCAAGATATCTAACAGAGCTCAAGTTGCAAATTGACGAAGAGATCTCTCCTGTCAACATGTTGTTGGAAAGTAATAACTTTTCCAGAAATGGTGCATCTAAAATCACAAGTAGGCCTTGGAGCAAGTTGGATTGAAGGTCCAGAACCGCTAGATTCATATTTGAAGTTTTTTCCAAAAGGGAAGAAACTTGTAAGAAAATTGTGAGAGAGATTCAAATAGGACAAATGGTGACAAAATTCCCATTGAGTAATTTGGCCATGAATTCTATTGTTTGAAAGGTCTAAGATTTCCAAGCATTCTGAGGTTCTTAAGAAAATAGGGAATTCATTTATGTTGCAAGAAGAGAACATAAACCTTGAAATGGAATATGACCATCAACTTGATTTTCGGAAAAGTCTAATACAGATAGCTGTGAGAAGTTGAATGCTGAAGATGGCAACTGACCACTGAAATTATTGAATGAAAGATATAGATCAGTTAATTTGCTGAGGTTGCCAAAAACATATGGAAACTTTCCTTCAAAATTGTTCTACTCTGAGATTTAAACTTGTAAGCTAACTAAGTTTAGATAGTGATGCTGCGACTTGGCCATTGAATTTATTGGATGACAAATACAAAGAAGTTACTTTCGTGCAATTCCAAAGTGAATTCATTGGAAGAAAGATCCAACACATTCAAGTACCCAAGATTGCCAATTGTGTCAGGTAACTTTCCAGAGAAATTTGTGTCAGAGAGAGCTAAGAATCTCAGTGAAGAGCTCAAATTATACTTTGGTAAAGTACCTGTTAGAATTCGATTTTCGGTTAAACTCAACTTTTGGAGGAATGGAAGGCAGAAAATGTCTTCTGGGAAGTCGCCTTGCAGGCCTGTATTGCTGATAACAAGTGATATAAGAGTTGAAGACAGGTTCACCAAGGAGCCAGGAGCAACTGAAGACATATTCACTCCATCAAGATGAAGATGTCTTAATTTTGTTAGATTCTGCAATTGCTTATTGAAAACATGTGGGCTGAGTTCTGGTAATCTATCACAGAGATTAACAGAAAGATCAATTGAAACAAGTTCTGCTAGGTGATAGATTTCAGTAGGTATTAGGCCATAGATGAACGAAATAGAGACAACAACAGGAACAAAATATAATAGTAAAGCAAATCAAACAGTAAACAAAGAAAAATAATACGCGCGATTTACCCTGGTTCACCCAATATAGGATACGTCCAGCTGAGTCAATATTATTGCAATATGCCTCACCTCTCTCGTTTACAATGAATGAATTACTCTAACACTCATAACAAGAGAAAAGTATGTACTAGGTTTAAGAGATTAAACCTAGTTTTACAAGGATTCCTATTCCTAAGCCCAACCCAAAAAGAAATTAATAACTTAAAAGAAATCCTACAGCGGTCATACATGGAAAAGCCCAAAACCGCCTACGGGCTCGGGGGCACTGCCCCCGCGACCCCCGCCCGCTCACCGGGGAGCGGGGCACCCGCCCGTTGACTGGGCAGCGGGACCCCCGAGTGCGTCTCCGTTACCCATTAATACTGAAGTAGTCGACAACTCCAACAATAGAAACCGGAGAAAGAAAGGTTAAGATGTGCCAGTTTCATAAACTGACCAAACTTGGATGAGATGGTGGATTCACTGAAATCATTACAAGCTAGATTGAGCTTTTGGAGATGGTGAAGGAGGAAGAGACTACTGTTGTCATATACAACGCCATGGATCCAACTAGAAGAAAGATCAAGGCCAATTACTCGACCTATGAAGCTATCACAAGTGACTCCATCCCATGAGCAGCAATCAGTACTCTCCAGGATTCTGTCTTAGGATAAGAATATTTTTCACAACGATAAGAATAACTATTATCAATTGTAAAGGTATTCTTAAACTCCACATGTTTTTCACAGTTCCTATTCTTCAATTGTGAGAAAAAAATCAATCTTTATTAAGAACAGGAATCTATAATAGGAAATATCCTTTAATAATTTTCGGGGATTAAGACCATGCAGCCACAATTTTAGCTTGAGCATCTTAGAAATTGTTTAGAGACATTAAGCATAAATTGTGTTTCCAATTGGGTGGCTTTAAATGTCACCAGTTTTAAGTTTCAAAACATGATGAATGTATTAGAAGATCGCGTAACAGAAAACATATTAATAACATAAAAATAAAATCATATTATACAATGAGACACGATATTTACGTGGTTAGAGTCAATCAACAATTATGGTTTGCATATGTTGAGAACGATAGCTTGTTCTTTAGGTCTTACAGTGTGGAACGGGTTACAAGACTTCTCCAATAATTTAATTAGAAGTCTTGGTCTACTAATTAGAAAGCAGTAATTTCTACGCTAATTTATAATCTCACTATTTGACTTGATTTGTAGGCACCGATTGTTTTATATAGAAAAATAATATTGAGATAATCTAATTTGTACAAGTCGCACGTTGAAGCAAAAGTGGAAATGATCTGAAATGTTGTAAAAGAGAATATAGATGGCTAAGATGATAAGGTTGAGATATGTAAGGTTAATGTTATTGCTTGAAATTCAGTACACATTTCTGATCTCATAGACCCTTTTTGTATTTCTCCTGTTTTAATCTATTTTCTGAGTTAAAGGTAACATTCCCATGACTGCAAATTGTTTATGAACTTAAAATTTTGAAGATTGTTAAAGATCGAGTGCTACTGCCCCTGCATTGCCAATAACAGGGCATTCTGCCACAAAAGATCAATTTTGTTCATTGTAATTTGTTGATTCATATATAATCATATTGCTAAGGATCCTTTGATGAACTTGAAGCATATTAGTATGCTTTAGTCATGCCATTTTCATCAGAGCAGAGTTTTGCACAAGTTTAAGAATAAAA